CAAATCTGTCAACTGTCAAAATTAGATATAAATACGTATCTGACAAATAAGAACTGTCACTTGTCAAATTTAGATGTGCTGATTTACTATAGCTTAATACAAACTTTTATACAACTAGTTGCAATTGCACTAGAATATTGTCATATGACAATAACTGTGGATAATAATAGATTCTTTATTAAAAATGTGTGTGTACACATAATAATAAAACTTTCCTTAGAGCTGGAGTGCTCTGGCGCGTGTTGAACAGGGCCCGTTGATTTATTAGTATAGCCGTTTAATTAATCCCGGCGCCTTCGCCAAAAACCGCTTATATCGCATACTAACGCATCCTGAAGCTGTGAATAACTCTTTTCCCACTCATTTTGCACTATCTGCAGTTCTTATTTATTTTTTTTACAAGTACAATATTTTTTTTTAATTAAAACAAAATAAAGAATTTTAAACCCTTAAAATAAGGGATTTGGGACTGTTGCATTATTTAAATTTCTTAATTTTGATTTTATTATGAATTGTTGAAATCTTATATAATTTACTTAGTTGTAGTTTTTTTTTCTCTTTTATTTTACAGAAATAAAAACGAACAAAATAAATATATATAATTTCAAAAAACAAGTTTACAGAAAAAACATAATAATATTCAAGCAACTGATACAAAGCGCTATTGACCATAGGTCTTTCTGCCATATATTTAATATTATTTATTTCATAACAAATGTAAAGTATTGACCTAGGTCTTTCCCTATTTATTCAATGTATACACTTAATTACAAAATTCACATGAACTTTATTTACTTACCTTGGAAACTTTATTGTATACATTTTTATGAACTTTATTCCTGTGTTATGCACTGAACATCCAGACAACTTTTAATATAACTTCTTTAATTACATGTTTTTTTGTTTTATGCAAACGTTGCGACTCTTTATTAACAAAATTTGAGTTAATTTCAATTCAATTCATTAACTTGTAATTCAACCATTTAATTTATTTATAATATTTTGATTAATCTTAGACTAAAATGTTATACAATTAAGAAAAAATGTTTATACTTAAAGTAAATGATGTATTTGAAAAGTTTCTTGCAGAGTTGTGTATCGAAAATCAATGATGAACGTGTATTTGCTCAGTTATGTATTTTTGGGGTGTTTCGGCCTCTCAGTGCGGAAAACAGTGGTCGAGTAAAAAGGGTCAGAGGTTACAAAGGGGTCCTTGTAGGAAGCTGTTGGAAGGATCTCGAATATCGCGTCGGATTTCCCCCAATTAAAACAAACGAAAAAGGACTCAGCCTTCTCTCGAGTGCATAAGAATAAAAGAAAAGCGTAAGTGTAAACGGCCTTTCTACAATAAGTTCACATGTCTGTGTATACATTAGTATTGGCTGTTTGCTCTTAGGCTGGGTCGGTCCACTCTTTATTGCTACTATTTATTACGGGGTAATTAAGTAAACTTTCCAAACACTATAATTCATCCATTTCTCTCTCTCTCGCGTTTCACGTCTATAAAAATATCCACGTGTTCACAGTTTTTCAGCCAAGTCTTCATCAAAAGTTAGAAGCACCAAAATTAATCTCATAATGTATTATTAAAAATAACGAAAAATGAGAACGTGAACAAAAAAAAGAATGATGGAAGGTGTGGAATTTCATATTAATTTATCGACTTTTCGGAATGCGGAAATGCAGTACAACACGTTTGCCGAACAAAAAAATATAAATTGAGTTGAAAACAGGAGAGGATGAACTTTTTCAACTCGACGAAAATTATTATCATCTCCGGCGTGCGATTTTTCATCCACATTGCACCTCGTTAAGTTGGAGCATATTTCATAATGCCGACCATAAATATTAGAGACGGACGAAAAAGTTATTAAATTATATTACGAGGTTGTCATTCATATGCACTTTAATGGAAGTCATTTGGGCACGCTTTTCCTTCAATTTCCGGAATACGATACTCTCTTGATTAACTCTACTCCCCACTTTACATTGTTATATAATATTACGTAATCCTACCGACTGGACTGTTTGAAACCGGACTAATCGAGAAACTAAAATAATCCTCATAGACATTTAGAAAATTAAATAATAATAATAGATTTATAATAATAATAATAATTTATTGGCCAAACATTAATACATAAGAAGAAAAAAAAAAGTACAATTTATACATAAATACATTTTAACATATAATAAAACTATTTATCAATAGGCTGGCCAAAGGGCATAGATTTATATAAAATTACAAATTATAAAATTAGAAGAAAAATTAATAAAAGATTTTGAAAACATTTTTTGTGTTAAAAATATTAGGTGAAGTAAAGAGTTCTGATTAAAATATAATAAATTTATGTATATAAATGAAGACAAATATACGATTAACATTGCATGTTTATACTTTGCTAGTAAGTGGTTTATCCTAATAATCTTTTGTAATTAATGAGGACTTTTATGTACATTAATTTATGATAAACCCACTTAGTGTAAAATCAATAATGAATGCAATGTTGAATTTACGTTGCCGACAAAAAAATGTATTAAAAAATTATGTAGTAAAAGTTATATTTAGTAGTAAAGTGATATTGATTGTATACATAAAAGAAAAGAAAGTTTTTTTTACGATATTTTTTATATTATTTTTGTTGAAATTATGTAAAATATTTTAATACTATTTTAAGTTAATTAAGATAATTAAACATTACGTTTTTTTTATTTGGATTAAGTTACTTTTGTTAATCTAGCGTAAGTAAATTAACAAAATTAACTTAGGTTAGGATTACTCAATTTAATACAGTTTTTATGTTAAATAATCTCAATTTCAATTAAATTATTAGGACTATTGAAGTTTTCTTTATTAGGTTTATGAAATTTTATGGAAATTAACTTAGTTTTTAATAGAATTGATAAAAACTAGTTAATTTCAGATTCATTTAATTACGTCAAATTTATTAAAAACAGTTATAATGAAAATGTTTATGTTAAATTGGATTGCTCCAAAATTAAAGCTTTAAATTAAAGTAAAATTATTAGATCAACTTTTATAGAAATTAAGTTAAACTTAGCTTAAACTAAGATTAGTTAATCTATATCTTCTTCAAGTAAATAAACAATTCTGATAAGATTTGTATAAGTTAGGTTACATTAAGTCAAGTTAAATTAGATTAAAGATAGTTCGGATCCTTAAAATATATTTGCTTCACTTTAAGTATAATTCATTTTGATCTATTTTGGATTATTTTATTATTATTATGTCACAAACTAAATAATCTGGGTTAATAAAATTGGAAATGATTAACTAATAATTTAAAATAATAAACTGATATTACAAAAAAAAACGAAATTTAAATCTATTTATTTATGATAGTAAAGAATATTTTATTATAATCTAAGTGACAAGTTAAAATATAAATTAATTATGTATTAAAAGAACGTCAACATCAATATACGTATCCTTAAAGTCAACATTAATGAAAATTCCTGATCAATATCGCTGCATTATTATGCATAAAGCATGCAATAAAGGACATTATTCAAAGCGACTTGAGTGTAAATATGTGAAGGTAAACATCGTCCTGAAAAAAAAAGTGATTTGCGTATGCTTCATACTAAACATCATATGCGGCAAATCCTTCGCGGAGATGATCTTCTCCAGATTAATATTTGCTTTGTAATAAAACTGGAAGCGCTACAAAATGAAATTTCTCTCTTTTCAGTGTACATTTCATATATAAATTTAATTAAAATCTGGTAATTAAACGCGTTTTATTCGCTACAATGTTTGTACTAATTATCTACATTAATTACGCTTTTATTTTGTTTGTTAAAAGTGGATTTATATTGAGATGTTTTGATGTTTAACGTTTTGTTGCAGGTAACGGATGCAACGAATTTGGGAAAGGTGGTGACCAGGATGCAACTGGAGAGGTCGGAAGTGGCGTTCTTCGTGTACACAAACGGAAGTACGCTCAGGTGAGAGATAGATACCAAATTACGAAATTCGAGTTGTCCATCGACCAAGTTCTGTTAGAGGGGATAATTTAATGCTATTGCTTAGATTAAAACCATCCCCTAACCCGTCCTACTTTCAAGTCATTAGCTTCGCACATCGCTTCCGCAATTTACTCATTGCTAATGAGATAATTGAAGCGTCGAAACGTAACGCGTTTTCTATTTGTAATTTGTAATTTTCAATTTTTATTTTTCCTTGCACGCAGATCCAATTTGACGCAGAGATTCCAGATGACAAATTCAGCACTGGAATCCATGAGCAGTTGGCCTCCAATTTATCTTCCTGAAAATGAAGGCAGGATTGTTTCTTTGGACAAGGAGACATTTCTCAATCGACTAGGAGAATTCAGGTATGACATTGATTGATTTTTCATTGAAATTAAAATTAAAGACGCAAATTTATACTCAAATATTTAATAGAATCTGTGTTTTTTTTATTTACAACATTTTTTACCAATTTCTTATTGAACATTTAAAACATAATAAATCAATCAAAAATATTGAATATTTTAGTTGATAATTCGAATAATTTAGAAAAAGACATGTTTCACAACTTTGTCCATTCTTTGGACCAAAGAAGACCAAATTTATGGGATGATAGCGAAAATAATACCTGCAGATCAGAAGACTTAATCCAATTTTAAAATTTGAAAAAAACTTGAAAACATATACAAATCTAAAAGTAATTAATAATTGAAAGAAATGAGTATCAAAATTGTTTTGTTGTATAAAACACACCTAAATTTAAAACGAAATTACGCTAATATACACATTATTTCCTTGTATAATACGCATTTATGTATTTAAAAAAAAAGCAATAAATTCAGTATTAAAGTTAAAGCTGTAAAGAATAAATGCAGTTTAATTTCATTAATTCGATACGTTTCCGTGTTTCATTGATCGGAGTTTGAAATAAGAGACTTCAAAGGGAACGTTTTAAACAGGATTTACTTGAGTGTAACGTAGAACGCTCTGAATTAAATGGTGCTCGCATTTGAGAAAATTTTACATGAAATTATTTTTTGCGAATAAGAAGATTTAAAAGAGAGAGAGTTAAATAATTTGAGTGGAAAACTGTGCTCTAGAAAAGAATTGGTGAATTTACGCACCATTAACTCTTTATATGGTATAAAGATATGAAGAACAAATTCGTAGGGATTCGTAGAAATAAAACGAAATAGGTCAAAACAACGAACTACATAAACATAACCGTTACAGAAACTAAGATTCATATGCGTAATAACAGTCTTTAACTTTCACAGAATCGCTTTATTTATTATATGACAAAAACAACAATAGTTTTAAGTACTTTAAATACATAGTTTAAGTATCTATTTTGATTTAATACCTCGCATAGTGCGGGGTTTCCGGATTGTTTGAAACCGGACTAATCAAGGAATTCAAACTGAAAAATATTTTAGTATAAATAATTATTTTGTATACAATTTTTACAATAATTTAATATACCGAATCCGGACTGATCGAAGCCGCACTATGCGAGGTATTGATTTAGTTGTATTAACATCGGTTAAGTTTTCTCGATTTATGACATCCAATGAGGAATAACCTAATAAAATTTTCTCCACTATTTTATTGCTTTCCTCGAACTTACAAGTATCAAGGACACACGTCTAAAATACTTCGTTACTCGAATGCAAATTCCATTTATTGCCATTATTACACCATAAATAACAGCATGTGCGTGTATCCATATACGCGTCATTCTTTATTTGTAACGTTTGATGTAGTAGTAGTACATGAATGGATGCACATTAAAGGAAACAAGTGTGTACGTCCGTACTACACACGAATGTATTCGTCCTCATTAGGCAAAGCATTATCCAATAACAATATCCTCGTGCAATTTCGTTTTATGCCCGGTCTACTTGCAAATAAAGTGAGCAGATAGAGAGAGAGAGCGGCCGTTGTGCAGATCGACACTAATCAAAAGGATTACGAAACATCGATCTTACAACGTGCGATCGTAATCATCAATTGATTTCATTTGATAATGCCCAAACGACATTGACATTTAGGATAATTGAAAGCTAACGTTGATGATCGCAGTTATTGTTTTACTATGTAATTGAGCCTTTATTTATATATAAACATCACTATGGAATTGTATACTTTATTGGGAAAGTGTTTCCATGGCCTAATTTGATATAATGATTATCTCAAAATTAGACTGAAATTATTACAAATCATTAAAAAGTCAGCATAAAATCTATAAATAAAAGTATCACAAAGTAGATTAAAAATTTTAAATTCTGAATTATTTGATAAATTTTAAAGTATTTATGAGATTTAACAAATTTTCCAATACATAAAACATTAAAAATTAACTTGATTTTCATTTTTACCTAAAAATCTATTATTTTAAGTTCATTTTTACGTTAATTTATTTTTTTTCAAAAATTTTAATCTGATTTTTTTTTAATTGCTGAATTACTCAAAAACTTCACGTCTTTTAATTGAATTACTATTATGTAATATTAATTAGTGACCCAAATATAGTAATTTGTCACATGAGTGCACGTTATATTTAATTACTTGATAAATGCATAAACTAATTAGATCATTATTTAAGCATGTAGCAGGTAAAAAAATCTATAGTCTTTGCAATAAACTTGCTGCCAAATTTATCTGTAATTTCCTGTAATTAAAAATCAAATTTTTTCAATTTTACAATATTTTTATACATTTTATGATTATTTCAAAATAAGTCTATATGAAATAACAAAAATTAACAATTTTTTTTTGTCGTATTTCTGGAATATTTTTTCAAATTTGAGATTTGTTTAAAAATTATACTCAAAATGATTGAAATTCCTAAAAAAATCTAGTAAAAGTTGTTTCTGTAGTTTGTATATGAATTTTCAATTTTCTTCGAAAAAAAAAACTTTCAATTTTGAGCAAATATATTTTTCCAAATATTTAAAAAAAAAAAACACAATTTCTTGAAAATCATTATAAACGTGATTTTTCCTGGTTCATTACAGAATTTGAGCAATTATTTTCAAAAAAATTACAACATCTCGAAAATGCTAGATAAAACTTTTTTATTTGTATTATTTCGTGTAACTTTCAAATTTGATTTCTACATATTTTTGGATTATTTATTAATAAGAATTTCTGTTTGTTACTTCAGGCTAAAAATAAGCTCAGAGGAAAGCTCAATGACGGAAGTATTAAATTGGTATACGTCTGTAAACGCCGCCCTCTTGGATCATCTTACGAATCAGATCAAAGAAACGGATAGCAGCGGCGTTTGGAGGTACTTTAACTCTGATAAACCAGCGATTCTCAAACTACTTGTCGTGCGACACAATTGCTAAGAGAATTTCATTTGACAGCTTTGACAGTTGTCATTTTACGACCCAATCAAAGTGTTTGTCCCACCAAGCAAAAATTTTTGTCCCACGACTCAGATTGAGAAACGTTGTCACGAATTAAACGTATTGACCTTAATATTAAAATTTTAGGTATCTATTGGCTTTTAAAAACTTATTGAGAAGCATCGAAAGCACTGGTATAGCGAGCGTCTACGGCGTCAACTACTTCGGAAGAGGGCTTCTCCGAGGCAACAACTACATCTACTACATCCATCACGACGCTATCGCCAAAGACCTGTTGAACGGCTCTTTGAACTACGTCCCGATGCTCAGAGATGTATACAGGAGACTCACGAAAACGATGACAAATTACGGAACCATCAAGAAAAGGTGAATACTCAATTCAAGTAGTTTCAAACATAATCTAATTAATATTTCAGAGGTGATATAATTGTGCAGAACTCTCAAAGATCTCCGAACATAACGGAAGCAATTGATTACTTCGACTCTATTGCTCAGTACACTGATGAGCTTAGGAAGCTGCAGAAGGAGCTGAGGCATCAAATCAGGTATGAATTTGTTCAGTTTATTTTCAGGATTTGTTTCTGTAATTTCGAGGATAATCGTATGCGATATAGTAGGTAACGGTATGAAACTTGATTTTCCAGGAACTACGTGAGTGCCAATTTGCACGAGGCGGCAAACAAGGAAGCGATTGGAATTGCGATCCTCGTCGTCGTTCTGGCCGTGTCTCCTGTAATAATTTGGTTAGTTAGGAACGCAGTTTCCACTATACAAGTGAGTACATTACAAAAGCAATCGATTTTTATATCTTTACATATACTTCTCATTTTATTGTTATTGCTTTATACAAATATATCTATTTAAGTACAATGTTTTCGTTTAAAATAATAGAGAAAATTTAACTTGTATTTTTATCTATAGATAAAGTGAGAAACTTAAAATAACAAATCTTCATAATTGAAGTAAAAACACAAAAAAAAAACTTTACAATTTTCAATATAAAATTGATTTTTAATTGATAAATTCTTTTAAATGAAAATAAAGAAATTAATTATTTTTCTTATACAAAATTATTTCAAAAAATATACACAAAAGACATATTAAGTCCGGGGTAAATTACCCCGGTAATGAGGACGTTTACCAATGAAATTATTGCAAAGGCTTTCAAAATTGTACATGAGGAGGTAGTAAAAAGTTGCTGCATTTTACAACAACCTTTATAATCCAAAAAAACTAGTTATACCCCAAAGATAGTATCCAAAATATTCTAAGATTATCTTCCTTTCAAAACAAGGGGTAACTAAATATATTTTGGGGTAATATTTAAAAAAAAAATCCCAATTTCTGGTCTAAGTTAATTACATAATTTGAAAATAATATATAAATAAAAATATCTAAGTATTTTTGTAATCATTTTTCAGCAAATAGTTGAAATTAAAATGAATACATACTATAACATCAATTTTCGATTATCTTAGTCTAGTCTTCATATCAAAGCCATACAGTAGCGTCCAAAATACAATCAATGTAGAAGCCATATCCTAAGACATAAAACAATTGGCTCTAAAAGCGAGTATAAATAGCGAACTCGTTTTTCGTGAATTTATAAACTCTATAAAGATTTAGCATATAAAGGCTTACTATAAACCGAAATACTTTATCCCAGCAAACGTGTATTATTTTATAACAGCTTATTTTTTGTCCGATTCGTATAAAATACACTGTAGAAAATATTAATAAAATTTTATACTTTCATAAAAAAAAACTTCTATACATGATACATCGATTTACCTAACTTTCATTACTTTTTATTTTTATTACACATTGATTTTATCTTTGCTATGAAAATATTTTCAATCTAAAATTTAATTATTTAAAAATTTTATTTAATCTTATTTCAAACCATTATTTCAGAAAATTTAATAGTAAATTATAGAATTTTGTATTTATTACCAATATATAATCTCTAAGAATTTATTTGAAAATTTGATTTTGAAGCTAAGATTAATGTGAAATAGTTGTGTATTAAAGGCTTCAAAGAATCCAGAAATACATGCAACTATTTTTGGAACATGGACGCACGAAAAATCAGTACATTTTCCTTTGATTATTTCTGGTATTGATTGGAAAATATTTGTTATGTCTTGTCTTTGTTTTCATTTGCAGCTGTACGCCGCGAATTTGGGGATGAAGGCAAAAGAACTGAAGAGGGAGAAAAAGAAAAGTGATACACTTCTGTTCCAGATGCTTCCGCCCAGCGTTGCCACTCAATTGAAACAGACCAGACAGGTAAGAAAATTCAAATAAACTTGTTATATCATCGAACAGGTGTCTTTTCCATATAGCCTATATATGATTAAAAAAAAATGGATTTCCATGGAATAGGAAAACAAATTTGTTATTTGAAATACATAAAAATATGAATTCACTGTTTTATTATATACATACTGTTTTTCTTTATGTAAGTATGAATTAAAGCAATTTTAATGGGATTTAATTTGGCAACCAAATGAAAACGTTCGTTAAGAATAGAATAATCATAACGTTATTTCATGGAAATCCATTAAAAAAGGAATAGTTGGCGCAGTTGGAAATTGTGAAAGTTAAGCAATATGTGTTGTAATTAGTACTTGGATTGGTGACTGATGAATTTAGTTAATTGGATAAATCACTGGAATTAACAACTTGATCGTTAGACAATTTTGAAGGAAATCTTCTAACTTATAATTAAAAACGTTTTAAAAGGAGATTAAGTAAAAACAATGAAATGAAAAGCTTTTGCCTGGAAGAAATATACAATTGCTAATGGAAATGGGTTAAATATTGATTACACGCCAGACGGATTCAAATTACATATAAATAATATTTGCAGGATCGTAAAAACACGGTTAATCCGTTCTTGCTATGTAAATGATTGTTTAACAGTTCCAATCGGCCGACGTTTCGGATTCCCAATAAATGCGCCAGTTGTGAATATTCGAGTTTACAAAACAGAATTAAATCTACATTCGGAAACGATATTTGTTTATTCAGAGTTAATGAACTGTTTTTTTTGTTCTAGTAATTCCAATAAAAACTCATACAAAGCTGAAATATTATTTTTTAATATACAGATTTACAGCTTCACTATAGTCCGATTTGAAAATTTCAAAGCAAACTAAATTTTAATTAATTCTAAAAAAAAAATAGTAGTCGCGGTTTATTTCAATTACCAGCACTATGCGAGGTATATAGTAAAAGTATACAAAAGTATATTAACATATAATATATAACATTAAAATCTTAAGAAAATAAACTTTGAAAATTAGTTAAAAATTTACCTTTTTATTAAATATTTTTTTAATGCAAATAAACATAAACCAAATTCAGATTCGATCAATAAAACATATTTGAATATACATACAATAAAGCCAAATGAATATTCATATATTATGTAAATTTTGACCCTTGAATTAATAAAATATGTTTCAAATTCAAATTACATTCTCTCATTTCATTCCTTCATATACGAATTGTTTTTCTAATTAAGCTAAATTAAGCTGAGATTCACATTATATAATAAACTACATTTAAATCAACAAACGTTGATTATTAAAAATATTTAATTTAATAATCAAATTTCCATATTTTACTCTAATATAACAACAAAAATAATTAAAATTAAAGTAACCCAATTAATACTTTTCCAAGATAATAGAATTCTAAATATCTTCCCTATTTTACATTTATTTTGTTTTGATTTAATTAACAAAATATAATTTACGTAGATGTTTTACATATTTTTGTTTAATTTAATTTAGTTATCATTGCAAATTATAAATTGGGGATGATTTGGAGAAAGATATTTTTTTTTTCAAAAAAAATCATTCACTGCATAATAAACACCAGTGATTCTCAAAATGTGGGTCGTGTAAAATATTTGAGGGGTCGCAAAAAATTAATGACAGGTCAATCCTGGTTGTTTTCTACACATTTCCATTCTTCAGATGGTCGCAGAAACTTTTTTTTGTCCAAAAGGGGGCTAGCTGAAACTTTGTATGTCTTAAAGGGTGTCGCTAACAAAAAAGTTTGAGAATCACTGATATACACTATTGATCTAATTAGTAAATGCGTCTACTGTATTGGATGACTAAAAAAAAATTGAATTCGTTTCAGGTTCCAGCCGAATATTACGCATCGGTGACCGTTTATTTCAGCGATATTGTAGGATTCACTGAAATTGCAGCAGTCAGTACCCCCTTGGAGGTAAGTGTAATGGCTATGATCGCAGACGTCTGGCTGAAATAAAATACAATACGGACGAAGAAAAGAAAAAAATATACAACCATACTTTTTTTCCTGATCTCTTATTTCTTTATAGGTCGTTACGTTCTTAAATAAAATTTACAAGTTGTTCGACGCTCGAATAGAGTGCTACGACGTCTACAAAGTTGAGACCATCGGCGATTCCTACATGGTCGCATCTGGTCTACCGGTAAAGAACGGTGAGTATATAATAATAATATTTCATAAACTTTCCAAACGCACACTTCATTTTCCGCTATAAAGTTTAATTGATGTTATTCCCCAATAATAAACAGGCATAACTCAATTTAAACATAACTTTCCCCTGTTTGGATTACGACTATATACAATGCTAATTACATATTCGATCCAATCATAATTTATGATGTTTGAAAACTTTTCACTCACCCTTTCACAAGGAAGCACGGGAATACAGCGGAAAGTTTCTAGAACAAAATAGGAAATATTAATATACTTCATTCATAATACATTTTTTTTTCAAAATCTTCCAACGAAAGAAATGTAATCCAAATATTAAAATTGATGAACTTTTGTCTCATTTCATGATTGCGTAAGATGGGCGCCACTCTTGCTCATTTTTTTTATGAAACAAAAGTTACGTAATGTTCGTTACGTAACAGGGAATAGACCATTTTTGCAATATTTTTTCAGTATTTCGTGAATTTCTCAACAACCCCTTAAGATAATTACATGGTCGATGACTCAATTAAAAGCTGAATGTCTCACCTTTCTAACAAGCATATTGGCCTCTTCGTGCTGTCATCAAGTCACCGGCTACGAGCTGTAGAATTTGGAAAAAAAGTGAATAGGATTTTCTTAAAATTGCTGTTTCGATGAGATCCGACGAGTTTTCACGTTTTTTTTTCTTAATTACACGAAAATTACGTAACTTTTGTTTCATTTCATGATTGCGTAAGATGGGCGCCACCGTTATTCAATTTTTTTATGAAACATAAGTTTTGTAATGTTCGTTATGTTTTTTCAGTATTTCGTGAATTTCTCAACAACCCCTTAAGATAATTACATGATCAATGACTCAATTGAAAATCTCACCTATCTAACGAGCATATTTACATCTTCGTGCTATCATCAAATCGCCTGCTACGATTAGAAAAAAAGTGAATAGGATTTTCTTAAAAATCGCTGTTTCAATGAGTTCCGACGAGTTTTCACGTTTTTTCTCCGTCTCCAAAATAAATCAATCTTAATATTTCCTGCCTCATTATATAATACACCCTTAATATATACGAATTTTATGGTTTCCATTTACTCAGATTATTGATGCGATTGGAGATGGTCTATAATCAAAATCAAAAAAATATACATAATACTAAAAGTATTTCGTAACGGGAATGTCTGGAATGATTTTCTACTCGAGCGTAATGCAATTCCCTAGTGGAATCGATACCTTAAATGTTCTGTTCTGTGCCAAAACTTTAACACGGCTTAATTAGATTCCGATGCTACAAAAAGAAACGTACAAAAAAAATAGTGAATCCGAGAAATTGGACGAAACGTAATTGGAATTTGCAGTAGACGGTAATAAAAACATAAAGACTCAGATTCGTTGACCATTATCAGGTTATTTAGTGTACATTTTTATGAACGAAACAAAAAAAAAATAAAAAATCGCATATAAATAAATGTAAGAAGTTCTTGTAGTTGTTAAGCAATAATTATAATTTTAACTGTGTTATTTCCATTAGAAAAGTTACGCAATTTATTACGACACACTGTAGTAATGTATTATTCCTTTCAGGCGACTTTGTTTTTTATTTATGTGCGTTTCTTCGCAGAATTAGTAGCAGACAAAAACATTCCCATAAGAAAATAATCATGATGAGAAAATTACATGAATTTCTTATAAAAAATGATTTTTAATATTTTAAAAACTAATAGAAAAATTATTATAAATTTTTATTTTTTCATGAAAAAATTTCATTTCTATTTTTATGATTTTAATCATATGAAAATTCTTACTTTTATAATCAACTTCTTTCATCTTCATTCTAAATATAGCTACCAATTACCAAGTCCAAGCTATTGCAATTTATTTATCCTCATACTCACTTTATATATAGATGATGTACAGTGACCCTCTAATAATCTGATCTTCCCCACAGACAACCCAACAAACGCACCACATCAATCATATCGTAGTGAGCTTTGAGGTCGATAATCGCAGGCGAATGGCTCACAGCTTGATCACAATTTATTATTCATGAAAACAAAATTTAATAAATATTGCAAAATTTCATCTATAATAAAACTCTCTTTCAAACATTTATCTTCAAGATTTGATGGAATGTGGATGCGCCGGGAATAATAATCTAAATTAGTCTTCTTAATTGATATTTGCTAAAATGGTTAATTTGGTATTAATTTATTTTGTTGTATTATCTTAGGTAGTAAGCATGTATCCGAGATTGCAAGTATGGCTTTAGACCTTTTGGCTGGATCTTCACAATTCAAGATTCCTCACCGGAAGTCCGAAAGGTTAAGGATCAGATCTGGAGCGCACACCGGGCCCGTCGTCGCCGGCATCGTAGGCTCAAAGATGCCTAGGTATTGCCTATTTGGAGATACCGTCAATACTGCTAGCAGGATGGAATCCACTGGAGAAGGTATACATTCAAGTTATTTGTATTTCTGTAATAATTCTTCTCAAAATAGGACGTTAATGCCTGTTAGATGTCCAATAAGTAGTATGATCCTAGTGCATTTGTAAAAGTAGTTGTTCTGATTCCAACTTTTGCCTTATTGGTTATATAACTTGTAAACATTACATTATGCAATTATTATGGATGTAAATATCACACGTAGTATGGAGGCAACTTTATAGTACAAATGTAGCCATAAATCTAGCTGAATCCGTTCTAATCCTACCTTTTGTCTTATTTATTATATAACTTTTAAACTGTACATTATACATTCTTAAAAGATATATATCAGTGAGTATCGCACGTACTGTTGATTCAATTTTATAGTACAAATGTAGCTTGGAATGTAGCTGCACCAGTTAAGGATAACTTTCATATTGAGTATACTATGATAACGTGGAAGAGAGTGCATCTATTCAATCAATCTATTCATTCCCGTTGCTCGTTTCATCTTGAGACTGGAGTTCGCGTTCCCTTCTAATAAAGCAAGCAATTTTCCAGTTAAACCCGACGATAATTTACATGCAGATCATAAACTGTCGGATTCCGGTTACTTAAAGTTTGTGGAAGTTGTCGCGAGAAAAGTGATGGGATGCGACCATCTGCGTATTTCCGAGCGTTTTCTCGCAAACACCTTAATCTTTCAAGAAAAACTTTTCTCTAAGGACGAAAACACCGGAGCGGAAAGGACAGATGCGTAAGGATTCAGTGGTTTCTCTCAAACGAATAAAATAAATGAAGAAAATAAAATAAAAACGAGTTGATATTAATTATTCAATTAATTAAAAAGCTGTGTTTTCACATTTTAGTAATTTAGATCCAAAATTCACACATCCATTTGGCTGTGATTCGCTTTCAAAGTTGAAAAAATGTAAAATTAACGCTCGAAAAAGAAGTTTTCACATTTTACTGATTTTCTCGGTAACTATAATAGATTGAATTGATCCAAAAGATGCAAATGAAAGCTGGATGTTTGGGAAATGTAGCGAATATTCATACCTTGCTGTGAATTCATCGGTTTGGCCGTATCAGTGATTTTCTCGGAATTTGTAATAGATTCAATGGATTCAAAAGATGCATATACTAGCTGAATGTTTGGGCAATGCATTTTGACTTAATTCGAGTTCAAAGTTGAAAAAATGAAAAATTAACGCTCGAAAAAGAAGTATTCACATTTTACTGATTTTCTCGGTAACTATAATAGATTGAATTGATCCAAAAGATGCATATGAAAGCTGGATGTTTGGGAAATGTAGCGAATATTCATACATTGCTGTGAATTCATCAGTTTGGCTGTATCAGTAATTTTCTTGGAATTTGTAATAGATTCAATGGATTCAAATGATGCTTATACTAGCTGAATGTTTGGGCAATGCATTTGGACGTAATTCGAGTTCAAAGTTGAAAAAAATGAAAAATTAAGGCTCGAAAAAGCAGCCATTTTAGTGTTTTTTTTTTCTGAAAACAAACCATAACTATAATATAATTATTTTGTTTTAGCTTCCAAAATACACATAAGTTCTGAATTCAAAAAAGCTTTGGACGCTATAGGCGGTTACAGAACTGAGCACAGAGGATTGGTGGACGTTAAGGTAATTCATAAAACATAATAACTAATTATAATGACTAATTAATTGATTTTGAAGGGAAAAGGGCCGATGGACACCTACTGGTTAACCTGCAAAGAGGGCGGTGAACATCGAACAGTCGAAATGGAAACTCCAACATATTTTCCGGTACGAAAAAATCCCATTAAGAATTTCTTTTAACAAATTTGAAAAAACCAAAACTTTCTTCACTTACAGGACGAAGATTCCGAGCCAATATTCATGCGACGACTCCGAGGCGAATGCTACATCTAAGCTCTCATCCAAAACATTCGCTCTTCAAAAAACTGAAACATTACATAAGAGCAAATATTACTTAATAATTTATTGTTTTTTAACGCCTCCTCGTTGTATATCTCACGTATTTATATTATACTTATTTTATGATTATTTTACATATTTTTGTTTTTGGTTCGAAACAATTTGGATGTGATGTGTACTATGTACATTTACTTTAGGTGTATTTATTTCCCAGCCACCGTTTTTGTGATACATAATTTAATTTTGTCTGTGATTTTACGTTGAATTTTCTTCCGTTCAACTTTCGCGTATTCTCTTATATTTCAAATCGTTGTTACGTAATCTAATTACAATTCATTTCGGAAGGCACAAGTAACGTTTAGTGGAATTAGTTTTTTAAATCTAATTGTTCGTAATTCGAAATTTATATTATTATTTATTTTTTTTCGAAACGTAATTTTTAAGAGTCTTGCGAACTAGTCCTGCGGAAACATTGCATAAGAAATATATGAAACACAGGGTCGTTCGTCCTTCGACTCGTTAAAGATAATTATAATTATTACGCGTAGATTATGAATGTATAGACTAAACATTGATTGTGTAAGATTGAAGTAAAATTATATAATAATTATTAATATTTATATGTAACAACAACAACAACAAAAAACGCATACAATAAGTGATTACTTCGTAAATGTAATTTTGTATACTACCTGTTTATTTCTATTTAATGTAATTTACACGCGTTTATATATAATATAAAAAAAAGAAGTATAAAGTGTATTTAAAATAAAATTTTAGGAAAATAAAAGTGTCTATTCATTTTATTTTAAATCCTAATTAAATTTACTGATTGACGTACTTAGCTTATCATAATACCGGTGGCAATCTCAAGCCCGACAATCAAAATCCCGACAGTGTCTTTTATTATTATAAATCTCTACAATAACATTTTTATGGTAGTCGGGATTTCGATATAGTCGGGATTTTGATTGTCAGGATTATGGTAGTTGGGATTTCGATATAGTCGGGATTTTAACATAGGCGGGATTTCAAGCGTCGGGACTTTAATACAGTCGGGATTTCGAACGTAGGGATTTCAATAGACGGTCTTTCGGTTGTCGGGCTTGCGATATAATACATAATACATATTAGAGAAAATTACATAATAATATGGATATATCATATCTACTAATTGTAAAATCTATATTTATAAATGAGCTCAAGACAATCATTCATAGCAAATTTCTTCAAAAATTCAATAATAAATAAACTAAGATTCAAACATCCATTACAATTCCATTGTATAAACTTATATAATAATAACATTTATTTTAAATCATAATCTATACCAGTTATTCTCTAATTGTTTTTTTACTCAATCAGTGTCTCCATGTAAGAATGTATATTCATCGTTAATAGATATAAGGTAAATAGTCAACTTGTAAACAATCATTGGTACAATTGATATTATTGTAGATGGAGCTGATAGCAATTTGCCTCTAATGTATAGTTTATGACCTTAGCATTATTTGCTAGCAGTTTTCATTTGGAAATAGTGGAAACCTTAACTGTGGAATGTGACCAAAAATATTACTTCATTAAGGAGATGGATATCAACTATGAACCCTGTAGTACTCATGATTCTATTGTAGCTTAGTACATGATCCTTAGAGACTGGATAACATTTCTGAATGCCAGATGCAATGAAAATACTAGGAAAAAGAAAAATGTTAATTTTCATCAAATCCCCAGAAAGAGACTAAAAGTATTTTATATAACTATCAATCTATATTTTCACTTATTTAAATCTCTGTATATTGTAGATCAACATTCATGTTCAACATTCTTCTACAAGCAAGTGCTTGCGAAAATACAGGACATTTTCTAAAACGTTGTTTTCCAAACTATCTAATACCAAAGTTTGATAATTAATTGTGACCGAACTATGGTAGCTACAAGTCTGTATTTACACTCATTTTAATCTCTATATATCTAAGATCTACATTATTATTCTTCAGAGAGTTGGTGTATACGAAAATACAGTCCATTTTTGAAGAGGTTATTTTCCCAACTAATTTGAGCTACAGCTCGTAGCAGACTATTCCACTACATTCTCAAAGTGTGGGGGGTCGCAAAAAAAATAATGACAGACCAATGATTGTTTTTCAACAAATAAATTACATAAGTACTTAACAATAAATTCATTTATGTAATCGATTAAATAAAATTATTGGAACGAAGGCAATAAGAAAACAAGTATTTATCAACTTCAAGGAAAATTCATGACCACATTTTACGTAAGTGTACAGTATAAAATATTGTATCAGTGTGGCCACAGTGAATGGTTCAATATCGGAGGATTCATTATGTGATTGAAAAACAATACCATTATTTATAGAACGAATAAAGGAGACTTACTCACTGTTATTGTGGAGTAAAACTGACGCAGTATTCAATGCATTCAGTAAAAAACATCACAATTTTATGAACAAAGAAATGAATGTTATTATACATTCAGGTTAAAATAACCATGATTAATGTATAATACTAAATTTCATTATAATACATAATATGTTTTATCTCATAAAATCGAGAAGTGTAGATGAAAAAACGATCATTTCTGCATACAAAATAATTTTCTGTACAAGTTTTTTAGAATTGATTTTTCTCAATTAATTGAAATTTTCTAATCGGGCTGTAGTGAATCCGTACTGATCGAAGCCGGATTATGCGAAGTCATTGATTCAATGTTTGTAATTCATTAATGTTGTAAATTACTAAAACTAACAAATCATTGTAAATATAATATTTATAAAATAATGTTTAGAAGTCTCAAGTAGTGATATCAGTTGCATACTTTACATTTTGTAAATAGAGTAATAATAGTAAGGTGAAACACAATGTAATAAATACGCGGTAATGCTCTTGTAACGTAATCATAAACTGCACCCTTATAACTAGATTATATTTCACTCTGCGTGGGCAGAAGAATAACGTACGCAACGACCACATTTCATAATGGCCCTACTAGATTACACCTGATAAAAGAAACGATCCTTTTTTCTCTAATGCACGTTTCCCTTCATTCATGCCCTTCTCTTATCAGATTTCATAAACAAAACTAAATGGAATTGTAACCATCAACGTTACGTTACATCAAATATAGTGGATTCTCAGTTCTCGAACACCTCGGTTCTCGAATTTTCTAAATTTGATTATTTTATTATCGAATTATTTTATTACTTTCATTTTTAAATATATCTAATATTAATAATAATAGTAGAAAATGTTCATAAGAAAATTTAAAATTTATTAATATTAACATGAGATATTGCTGATTTTACGTATATAATTAAAAAAAAACTTATATAATTTCTTTTTCTCTAATGCACGATATGGTCTTGCTATTATCAAATTTTATAAACAAAACTAAATGGAATTTTAATCATAAACTTCTCGAACACCTCGGTTTTCGAATTTTTCAATAACGTCCGAATTTCAATTACTTTCTTATTGTATATGTATTTGTTTTATCATTTTCATTTGGATTAAAATGTATGTAATATTAATAACTATAATAATTGTCGAAAATTTATAAAAAAAAATCATGAATAAATTCAAATTTATAAATATATTAAGATATTTCATTACTGATTTTGGGTATTATCTAATTAAAAAATATCTACTTTTTCTTTCTACAGAAATTTTCGTCAATATTTTAATTATTTATTTAAAAAAAACTAATATAATTATTTTTTTCTAATTATATTGTTTAAGATTTTATGTATTTTTCTATACAAATTTTATTGGCCCATTTCTATACAAACATATCTAACTTTTATAAAATTTGAAATAAACGATCATCTAAGCCAGTATTTCCCAACCTTCATGTGACATGCGTTTCTAAAATGCTTATGCCCTTATGTAACATATACATAATACGCCATAAGCCATACTCTAGATGTGTCCATTTTCGAATTGTCCCACTTAACAATAAAATTGCCCCAATGTGGGTCATGAGCTTCACATTAGGAAACACTGATCTAAACAATGTGAAAATGGTTTCGGTTTTCGAACAATTCGGTTTCAAACAGACTTTCCAGTCAAAAAATATGATAACAATGTGTTAAAATAAATATTCTCAATGAATTATTAAAATATCTCAATACAAGTAAATATATTATTTTTTAAATGGACAATAGGCCTTTTGTAACAGTTATTTTATTGGAAACAAATAATTTATATCAAACTACAAATTATAAACAAAATAAAATTGCATAACTCAATTGTTATACTTGTCACAATTAAGTAATCACCGTTTCGGTAATGGATTAATGTAAGAGTTAAAGTGTAGCAGAGGCACAAAGAAAGTGTGAAATATCGACAAATTGGTGCAAACTGGACACTTTCCCATGGGTTATAGATATTTGGACACGGAATGGTAGTGTTCACGGTCCGATGGTAAATTAACATTTAAGTTTTATAAAAATTTTCCTTTGTTATTTAAAAGCTCCAATAGCGTGCTGCGGTCTAGATTACGCAGGACGGATGTCAACTTCCGCGAAAACCGGGGGCCCAAAAATCTATCAACATCCCACCGTTCGTTGCGCTATTTCCTACACGCTTACTCCCATGTTCTTGCTATATGCTATACGCATTTGCTACGCTGCGTTCACAACGGCGCAGCCGTCCGTTTAGAACGCAACAAACACACAAAGCAACGAAACACGCGCTCGAAACACCGCAAATATCAAAAACACGAATCATTAAACAAATTCACAAAACTTTCTTTCCTTTTCAGATAAAAGTGATAATTTAGTGCTATTCGATTAAGTGATTTCAATATAGAGCACAGTTGGGATTACTTGTTGTTCGAACTGAGAAGCAAACTTGGTAAGTTTCAAACATTTCCGGTGATATTGAATTATGTCATAACCACACAATGAAATAATCACAAACACTTGCAAAGTAGTGAAGTAATTTGAAATCTACAAATTTCATTATTTATTTTTATTTTTTAATGAAAAAAGTAATTAATATTTAGTAACTAACATACACTCATAATTAACGTTATTTCAATTAGTGTTAATTACTAATTCAAATTTGACGTCAAACATCCGTTTAATTCTGTTACATAATCAATAACAAAAAAATAACAAATATTGACTTATACAACTTTACTAATTAGTTCAAAATTTTAACTTTAAATTGTAGAATTAACATTCTATTTACATGATAATACATTAATTGATAGTCCAATTGGATTATTAGTTTATGAAAGTTAAGCAACATTTGTCACGGATCATACTGAAAAAGGGTGATTCTTCAGTATTACAAGAAATGTATTACTGATTAAATACTTTGGAATTTCATACAAAATATAGATCAAATTTTAGATTCTTAGGAAAAGTGAATAAAATATAAGATTCTACTAAATTTGAGTCATAACTTCAAAGATTAAAACCAATATAATATAATCAAAAAAAAAACTTATTATATAAGATTTAACATATGAAATTCACAAAATAAAAATTTTTAATACCAAAGAGAACGTCGAACAATATTTGTTTATTAGGAAACTCCATGAGTTGTGAATTTCATGAGTGATGTTGCATATTTTTTTTATCCAAAGTAATTATTAACATCTCATTATAAAAAAACAAATGTGCAAGGATAATTAAAGATCAGGAAAAGTTTAATTTCATTAAAAAAAAACGCAATTAAGGATCTAAACATAATCAACGGATAATTATCCGTGAAATAGAGTTTTTATAACGTCTTAACGGTTCAAGAGAAAAAAGTTGCATTACATAATTGTTGCGAGTTGCATCCCATAAACAACTATTTGTTATATTTCTATAAGAATTCAGTGTAATTAATGCTCTGTTACATTTTACAAGTTAATTTAATACTAACTGCAACATTTTACAAATAAAAATCACACATTTTTTTCCATCATTTTGAAGTTTTGAATATAATAATATATTTTATTATAGAAATATTTTTGTAAATTGTGAAATATAATGCATGTCCCAAAATTAACGCAAGATTTGAATTTGCCGCACTTTGTATTTTATGATTCAATAAAAAAATCAAAATCTGAAGGCTAAAATCTGTCTTGCGTTCATTTTGGGATACCCTTTACATTGCATTAGTATTTCTTATATAAACCAGAGCCGTTTTATTCAATAGTAACATTAAATATAGTCAAATTTTATGAGAATTTTTGGGGCCCACGAAAAAATATTGGATTTTGGATTATTCTTCATATTTAGTTATTAAATTAAGTAAGGATAGTACTTAAGTAATTAAGTAAGAAAAAAGTAGAAGATTTGTTGCTTAGGGCCCATATTTGGATTTTGAGGCCCCGAGCATAAATATGATAAATGGATGGCTCAGCGACGCTACTGGGACCCACGGTAACCTCAATACTTATAAAAAAAAGTATAATACTTTAGAAACATAATCAATAAAATAAGAATTAGTCACCAAATTAAATTTTGTTAATTTAACAGTAATTTTTAACTATGTATTTTCTGTTTTGATTGCATAACTCAAACTGAAATGCGATTATCCTTATATATAAAATACATATAAAAAAGGAAATGCATTCCATCTATGCGAGAGACGTGCGTGCAGTTTATTTTATATTTTTATTTTATTTCAGTAATTACAAAATGCACTTGCAGTGCAACACCGTTTTTGATACCGTCAACGAAGCGTGTTTCCTTTTTAAAAAATGCAATTATAAAAAAAACTAGAGTCGCGCATAACGTAATTTACCACAATTATCGACACTCTAAGTGTGTATGTGTGTTTTTTGTTTCTATTTACTTTTTTTTCTATACAGTCGAAGGTTGAATTCCTCATCCGAACAAACACATCGTGTCTGTCTGCCTTGTTGATACGACATAGAACAAATTGTCCTAGATTTTCTTAACAATAATTCAATTTTCATATTTGTAATAAACACATCATTACTCATATTGTAATTATGGAACTTATGTAAATATTAATTAGAGCGTTCTGCTTTTATTTAATGAAAAAAATAAATTACTCATAGATAAATAAGTTTAATCTAATAATTATATACAAAGATACATGCAAAAGCAAATAAAGTAATTAAAAAGATTAAAGTTTTCTTTAGAAATTATAATTTTTTACTAATTTTTCCTTCTTCAAATATTTAATTACGTATCATTAATTTAAAGAATACTTAAATATCAATTAATTATGAAAATTGTTTGAAACTTTTTGGAAATTTCATTTTTATAAAGAAAAAATCATATTAAAAAAAATACATCGTTTTGTTTTAATTCAAATCAAAAATTAGTTACTCATAGATAATAATTAGTTAAAATTAATTGAAAAACTGATGCAAGTATAAAAAAGGCAAATAAAATGATGTGATTATTAAAAAAAAGTTATTTTTCAATTATAATTTTAATTTTTTTTATAAATTTTTAAATTTAAAAGAAAAAGTGGCAGAATGAAAATGTGAATAATATATAAGAAAATTAAATATGTTGGAAAGTTGTAGTAAAAGTTTAGTTAAGAGAAAGTTAATAGTATTTTTTTTGTAATGTTTATCTGAGAAAATATGAATGAAACTGGTCCATTGACTCTGGTTATATCCTTGAAATGCGACTGAAGGAACATAAATATATGAACCGGATGACATCTTCAGACATCAATTATGTCGGTCTAAAGTTAGCTCAACCATGTGTAGGAGTTTAATAATATCTTCAGAATTATAACTCGTAATTAATATATATAAAGTATTTAAAAGTTGAAGTATTAATAAATTGTGAATGAAATATCAGAAGAAATTAATAAATAATTATATTACAGTGGAAACTTGCTTAACGAGCAAAATAAATTGTAAGAAAAATGATTTCAAAATGGAATGCGTTATTGTATATTACATTAGTTTATATGCGGATAAATACTGTTAAAATTATGAATGAAACTTTAAAACGAATTTATTAAGTCGCATATTTAACTTATTTTGACTTAAGTGGAAACAAATTTGAACCGAACGACATCTTGAAGTCATCAATTCTGCATCTAAACATAGCTTAATTAGTCATATAAATGAATTTAGTGTATTAATTAATTTCTATGATATAAAATATGTTGCAAATTATTGAAGATTATAAATTTATGAATGAAACTTGAAAATATATTTATTTTGCAAATTCTAATATGAGTGATTAAATTAAAGTATGTTGGTATGTTTATAACATAAATGATAACATTATGAATTAAATTCTAAAATTGATTCATTTATATCCAGTAAGTGAATAATCTGTACTGGTTGACATTTTTGAGTCATCAATTCAGTATCTAAACATAGCCCAACCAGGTGTAGGCGTTTAAGAATATCCTGAACCGAAAAAAAGGTAAAGGAAGTGACTATTTGCAACCCCAAATGTTTTCTCTCTCGTCGGCGTCTCGAATACCATTCCAAAAATAACTAAGAACACCCCAAAAATAAGTTCCCTCCGTTGCAACGGAATTGTCGATGCGTAAAGCGCGTCTCGAGTAAAAGTAAAATAGAAATAGAATTCCAATTAGATAGGAAAATGACTCGGCCATTTTATTAATTTCATTTAGCACGCTTTCGATAAATCACATACAAAGCGAAAAGAATGTGGAGGTGGCACGGAATAAACAGAAAACAAAAGAGATTGCATTTCTAATCAACGGAGCAGAAGTCTTCTATTCGAATGGTTCGAATTCCATTCGATTCGTGCATAGGGAAGCATGGATTATCGATTAGCCCTTCCCATATTCTAGAGTTTGTCAGATTCAATTACCATCAACAAAATTTGATTAGCTTTAATTTCAACCGTCAATAAGTTAATACTTCTTCATTTCGTTTTAATATTTCACAATTAATTTAATTAATTTTACACAAATGTATTTCTATAATATCGACCAACCTCATACTTATATTGAAAATATTTATTTTTGACAAAAATATCATTTTTTTTTGTAAATTTTATAATTAACGCTTTAATGATGTTTATGTAAGTTGTAATGGCTTTTAACTGTAGAAAGTTAAAATTTTACTGATATAATATGCTATGATCACACAAAATTTTCTCATTTTAGTGTTTTCTCGGAAACTATAATAGCAGTCTCCATACCATACTATATAACTGTTATTCTTATGTATAAATACTTGAACTTAAACTTGATCCATTAGCAGTAATTTGCGATCAAAATTAAGGCTCAGAAAACAGTGTTTTCACATTTAAAAAAAAAATATTTTTACACAATATTTAAAAGTAATAGGTAAGAGTATTGTTAATTTGATATTTGGCACCAGCCGCAAAATTCGTTTACTGCAACTCTAACTATGACATAAGCTAATATACACGATTGTAGCTAGTTAGTGATTTCGGTCATGACTTATCTAATTTAGTGCGTACATGCACTTGATATGCAATCTGCTAGAAACCCACAATATGTAATCATTTCATTTGTATAATTGTATAATATGTACTAAAAAGGCAAAGTTTAAATTATTATAACTTTATAATTTTTAAAATTATTTTAAAACTGAATAAAGTTTTGACAATAAAAACAATAGAAAAAACGAAATATAAGTTTTCTTAAGAGATATTGGACTATAAATAGCGCCAACTTTCCTTTACTCGCTTTTTCCATTAGGCTACACCTAGTAGATATAATTAATGCTATTAAATAGTTTTCCCATTGTTGCAGTTAGCACTAATTTTCTATGGAAATAGAAATAACGTCATAATTAAATTAACCCAGTGACCGTTTTCTTTAAATTGATAATAACGTGCAATTAGTTTAATTGTCACTTTACACTAAATTAATTGTTGTATTTACAAACAATACGTTTTGTTTCTACGAAATACAATTATAAAATATTTATCATTAAAACTGATTTAACTTACAGTTATTACCAATAAACTTTGTTTTATACAGCTAGAAAATGTTTGTCAATAAATCACATTAGTTAGAAACAAAGCGCTTCGCAAAACTAATAAATAATTTATAAACAAGGAAATGTACTATTTTTTTTTTCTAAATAAACATTTTACACCACATTTGCGGTTTTCACATATTTACATTAATGATAAAACTTGTCTAAGATTTAATTTTCAGTGATTAATTCGAACAGTTTTTTACATTTTTATATATTGAAACTTTTAAAATGAAATAAAAGTAAATATTCTTCATATAACTTTAATTTGTACTTTATGATATTCGTTGATATTTAAAATATTTTTTAGTTCAATTTTAACAAATTTAAGAATTATATTTTCAGATAAATTTGTCATTCTTAATTTTCTTGAAATAAGATAAATTGTCTTTACAATTCGTTAATTTAGTCCACAATCAACCTTAAAAGACAATTTCTCAAAAACTAAAAGAATTATAATAATTCTTATATATAAACTATATTTTTTGTAGTCTTTAATATTTATAATTTGGGCAACTTCCAAAGTCTTTCTGCCTACCTTTCTTAGCTAATTTAAGGAATTTTAACGTTATACAACAAATCATAATACTATAATAACAAATCATAAAAAGTGAAGAAAACATGCATTCTTTTGTTACTACCTTCACTCCTCGGATTCGTTCCACAATCGGTTCCAAATGAATCCGAGGAGCGTAATTAGCGTTGCAAATGCGTTTTCGATTTTTATCATAACTTATTACTGGATACCAGAGAAATTGTATTACTTTTACTCGGACCTCGGAGCAAGAATGGTACGCTCTAGTTGCCGAAGAACATTTCTAATTTGGAAACAGAAGAACATCGTTGCGGTATCCTGCATAGACGAGTGTTAATTAAATTGGAAAAGAAGTGCAAGAAAGAAATTCCGTCGTGTTTCTTAATCGATGAGCAATCGAAGGATGTGCTTGATAAGTACCAATTAAATTGTCAATAGAAAACAATGCTGGAAGCATCGACGGATTGAAACGAAATACGTAAAAATTGCTAAAGAATTCCTGAGAGACAATTATGTTTCTGTTGGTTCCACGTCGATAGTTTTATGTAAATCTTTATAATAACAACAACAATAACAAATATTACGTTTGAAAATAATATTATGCAAGGACGTGCATTGTTAGGATTCCGCATGCTACCGTCAATATAATCATAATAATGAGATAAACATGAATGTTATATAATTAAATTTGATATTATATACTACATTATTCTTATTAAGTAATTTCTATTTTCAGAGAATGTCAAGTGAATCGCCTACAAATGCAAAAATATCAGGATATTTAGAAAAGAAATGCAAATTGGTAATTAGTTAATAAATTTTTAATCCATATATAATGGTGTGTATGATTGCAGCGGATGGTTTCGCCATGGAAGAAGTATTGGTTTGTACTGGAAGGTCGTCTTCTACTGTATTATAGGTCTAAAGCTGAATACGAAGCTATTGGTCCTTGTAAAGGTTCGATAACTTTAGGTCCTAGTTGCAACATAAAACCTGCTCTGGTTACCTCCTGCATCTTCCAAATAGAAACACGCACAAATACCATAACTCTCGTACGTGAATAACAATTATCATCTAATTCAGAATATAACAGTTCATTATTACAGAGAGCGGAGAGTCGCCTGGAACAGGATAAGTGGATGCACGGAATCCTTACAGCACTCAACCAAAGTTCCGGTAAAGCCACGAAGATGACCCATTTCAGATACTCAGCAGACGATCTGCTGCCCTCGCCCACGGAGAATAATACGGTAAATTGTCTTAAATAGAGATGACACTTAAGTACTTAGAGGCTCAAATCATCCAATTTCCCCAAACAGAAATCGCTGTTATCCCGTCACAACACGCTCCCCGAACGTTTTGAAAAGTTACCTCAGCATCCGAACAAGAGCGTCATTGAGAGGATGCAGAATCTGGGAGCTCATTCCTATGGTGGAAGTCTGAACGCGATATCCAAACTATCGATGAGCCCAAAGCTACCCAAAAATGACAACCTGAAGAGGCTGTTGCAGTCTTCCAACGATGAACTAGTCATGTACGCTACTGTCAATAAGACCAAAGAGAAGGAAGATGAGATAGCAGAAGTGGTAATGGAAAACACCGAGTACGTAGGTTTAGAGCCTGGAGAAACTGACGAATTCGTAGTTGAGAATGCTGAGTACGTCACGTCGGGAGATGATGAAGACACATCGAAAGTAACTAGAGATCATGTGTATCAAGAAATTCTTACCAAACGAGAGTTGATACAAGAAAACAGCGAGGATGTTAACGATTACACCGGTAGTGGACCTCTCTACAGAGCCACCAAGATTTACGATATACCTATATACTCTGATATAAGCTCAGATCAAGCAATATACGAAGAAACCATGCCGGCCTTGCCGCCCAGAGTACAGCACCTCGTGGCTGTACAAGCGGAAGAAACGTCCGGTGAAAAAAATAAGAAACAAAAATCAAAGAAGATGTCTTTCAAAAGGAACAGCTTCGTGATAAAGATGCTGAAGAAAATCAGAAAACATGATGTTGTTACTAAGGAGGAGATCTCTGAACCGGTAAAAAAGCCCAAGGAGGAGGTAAACACCAAAGATTTGCAAATACTGAATGAGTTACAATCGCTACTGGAGACGAAAAAACAATTTCTAGAGGTAAATTATAACAATTTTGTTGTCAAAGTACAATTTTTTTAATTTTGTATGATGTTTCAGGAGAAATTGAAGCACAGCCGAGCGGAGAAAGCAAAGTTCGATGAGGAACTGAAAACTAGGATCGAACGTAAGAACATGGAACTTGAGTACTCGAAACCGATCAACGGGGAGAAAGGTGTGCTTAAGAAAAAGAAGGGTCAAAGGTTAAGAAACGTTCAGCACTTGTTTTCTAAATACGGTAGTTGCGTGGAGATGCATGAGAATGTGTTTTATTTTTTATAATTTGAAATCTTCCTCTAGTTTTATTATTTAATCTTCTGTATACTTGAATTTATTGTGTGGACTAAACTTTTTCACGGCTGATGGTTTTTTTTTTGTTTTAAACTAATTTAGAAAACTAGTGTATGATTGCAAACAATCCGGCATCATTTTTATTTTAAAATGATAATTTGATAAATTTTGCCGCATTGTTCGCCAAATCGTAACTCTCTGACTAAAACCGTAATGCATTATTATGTTTTACAATCTATTTGAAAATTTTAGTTTTACCAACTTTGCCTCCAAAGCTGAAATGTAGTATAACTGAGCAACCTCTGACGTTGCTGAACATACCAAGGCCGAAATTGAAACGGATCCGACATAGCAACGAAAACATCCCGGATAAACTGAAGACCATAGACGAGATATTGGATGAATTGGATAACGAAAGGACTCAGCCGTCGGCTAATGTCAAAGAGCTTATAGATAAATTCAACGTTGGTAACAGTAACCACGAGGAAGTCGAGATGAGGAAGAAGCCAAAGAGTCCTGTACAGAACTGCACGAGATATTCCGACGATTTGAACAAGCTGCTAGCGGAACTAAGCAAAGTCACGAACGCGCCGATACTCCAACCCGGCGTTACCACCAGTTTAGTCACAACCTCCTTAACAGATGAAGAGGTACTCCTACTTAGGTAATTATAGAGATCAACCTGTTAAATCATAATCTTTCAGTGGATAAGTTTGATTCCGATCAGGAAACGAAGATTATCCGAGCCAGACTACGACATTCCGAGACCGCACAGCAGTTTGCTATTCAGAAACCAGGAGCCCGCAGAAGATGCGATGAAACCGACCAGATTTTTCGGGCCTGTGATAATTGGACCTAATAATATTGGGTAAGCAATACTAAAACGAAAAACTATGTTAACTAAATCCACTGTTTTCAGCGATGCTAGCGACAGGACTTTTAGCATTGCTCCAGATTCTTTAGAGGTCCATGTGAGTAGGAATGGTAAGGAGGATGAACGCAGCGTGTTCTCGTACAACTCGCACACCTACATGGAGATCAAGACGCTGGATCGAAAGCTGAGCAGAGAGGAAATTTACGCTAGACCCACATCTCTGACTGCTACGGATTTCGATTTGCATGAGGACCATTTCGAGGATTCGCTGGAACCCATCGAATTCATTCATTCAGTCTAAAGCTTTGACGGAAACGTACCGATTGATGCCTTGGTAGTTAGTTAACAATATTTATTTAACCAAAGATGTGAGATTGCAATATGTTTAATATTTACGCTATTATTAACAAATTCATTACCAAAATTGTGATGCTATATAAATACATCCTATTTTATTATATAGGCTTTAGAAGCCGACGATCTGATCACTAATAAATTGGGCATTTAAGACTTTTAAGATTGTTTGTATCGTGTGTTGTAATTTTTCAATTATTATTATTTTTTTATATTTAAAAATAAATTTATTTGACTGATTTATTACGAATATTCTTTTCTTATATAAATATAAAGTACTAACAAGAAATTGAATTTTAATCTAGTTATCCAAGTGAAACAATTTCTGATGACATAAGATTTATACTAAAATTCTAATAAAACACATCTCGAAATATGTTTCTACAAAGCAAATCAAAGATGAGAAAAACATATCTAAACTTATCAATTAATTAATTACATACCTTCATTATTTAACTATTTTCTTCATCCCATGGAAATGACACATCACTCACTATTTATTATGTTTGTAAACTAATAAACAAACATTGTTTCATAACAGCTGCCTGGGATCTAAGAAAATAAATGAAAAAATCTAATAATACCTATCAGATTTTATTTCCTCAATATTCATAAATCTCCATCCTTCAATATATATATATAGTATTTATAAATATTCTAAATGCAACATTTTCATTTATACAAATCAAAACAGAAGCTCTAATAAATAACGCATATCAACGCACCAAGAGGTAAAATAGATATAACAAATTTCTTTCTATATATCTGGATATAAAATTAGGTACATTTGTTTTATTGAACCCTCTACAATTAAAACAGATCGAAAAAAAATGTTTCACACAATCAGTTCTCAGGTATAAAAAAAAATAATTCACGAAAATAATATATATATAGATATAAGATATTTAAATAATAACGAAATCGGGTTAAACGGACAATTTTTCTACAACGGTAACAAATAGGTCTGATGCTAGAGGCATTCTATAAAGCATCGTGGGTCGAATCCAGGAAACTAGACTTACATTTAGTTTAAAAACAGAAGAAAAAAAAACCTCTTTCTTTCCATATTATAATATGATCAATTGTCTATAATATATGTATTTATATTAAATAATAGTTAAACTGTGCATTGTTTCTCCCAAAATTCAGGCGACATCAAGACTCGATCTCGTCTTGATCGACCATTACGAAATCGTTGTCGCATTCGGACGACGTGCTCCTTCCGTTATTCCCTGGTTCATTGTTACTAATGGAGATCATCAAAGAGAAAGAAAACGTTACAGTACATTTATTTAAGAGAAAATTAAGTATTTGGTAAATGGAACATGAGGTAAGGAAAACAAATACTGTTAGGTTTTTCTTTTTTTTTTGGTAGTCTATTCAATACCTAGGTTGTTCCGCTGCTTCGGTGCTGCTCCTCTTATCGGAATCCTCTCCGTCGTCCTCTGTATCGTCATTCTCCGCGTCGGAATCCTTCTCTTTCTTCTTCTTAACCTTTGAGGATGAGCCATTGCTGTCACCACCATCACCAACGTATTTATACTAAAAAAAAATATTATTTTTTAATAGTAAATCACTGAAATTTGTAGTCATGAAAGTAAACCTGTTTATGCTTATAAGAGTAAATTAGGCTGAAAACTATATAAAAATGGAACTGCCTGTACACTATAATTACTAAATTACCGTGATTACATAATAAAACACAACGTAAGAAATAAATTAATAACTTAAAAACACGCAACAAATTCAAACTGTAAAATTAGAAACATGTATTTTTCTTCGTATAATTAAAACGCGACGATTTGCGAAATCAATACCAAAGTCTATCCTATGTTGTTGCAACATAAATTTCGCATATTTTAAATTTTGTCAACTGTTCAAGTATATACGTTTCATATAACAATAGTAAATCCATGTAATTCCTTATATAACAATAATATTTCAATATTGACTTGACAAATGACAAAGTTATGTTTGCTTTACGATTGATTAACTTACAGTGTATAAGGGCCAGAATGATGCGACGAGTCCAACATCTTCAGTCAAATTAGGGAATATCCATATGTGGTGTTTCCCTGCCGTTAAGAGCCAGACGAGACAGAACATGATCAGCCGAAGAACTACCAAGAAGATGATGAAGATGAAGAATCCAGCACCGGCAACGCTCAAGTAATAAACACCTGCAAATAAAAATAATAATAGTAAATATAAATGTGATGTAAATATGGTTTGTATTTGCTGATTAGAAATGCAAATTGTGTTTACCTAATCTGACTGATGGAGGCCACAGAGGGAAGAGACAGACGCCGATGGCGCCAAGCACTAGCAGAGTACCGAAGATCCAATAATAGAACGGTACTGGATCGTATATCCAGACGTAAGCGTCGAGACAGTCGACGAATCTCTGATCAATATGCATGTCGAGACGAACCTTTCGCTTCTTCTTTTCCTTGATTTCCTAATAATCAATGTTAACAAATAAACATCAACATCTTTCAATTGTATAGCGCACTTACAGTTGACTCTGCTTTTCCTTCAGCAGTGCTGTTTTCAGCCTCAATAGCTTTATCCTCTTTCTTCTTCTTCTTAGCTTTAAGCTCACTTTCAGACATTGGAACCTTTCTGGCTCTGTGGAAGAACTTGTGCTCCAACATAACTTGCATATAATGGACAGCATCCACCCTGCTGCTGAACAAAGCTTCATCCCCAGTGGCAAACTCTGATTCCATCAAGGCATCAAGTGCTTTGGAAGCTGCAGAAAAACAAATACTTTCAACATAAAACCAACAGCTCCACCATTAATTGACATTGAGATTACCTGTGAAGTACTGAACCATGTGATTCAAGAATTTGATCTTCTTGATGGGAACATTCTTCTTCATCCATTTGGCCACAGCATACTCATTCTTGGTGGGTTTATCAGTGATCTCCTCATCCATATAGCCCTGCGGATTCGTATTAATGAGATTAGTTTGATTTTTGGCGGCAAGAGAGCAGTGGCGGCATCCAAAACAAACGCGAAACGATAATGTCAGATGCACAGAGATATTCTTGTAATTGAAGAGGTGTCATTGAGGCTGTTTTCCAGGTAAAATCGTTACCATTAAAACATTAATCAATCGTAATCACTGGGATTGGGATGGATTTAAATAGCGGAACGCATGACCTCACGCTGTCCCGTTAATCCGACTGGTTTTTCTCGCCACTGACACAAAGCCAAGCATTTAATGTTGAAATTATAGATTATTCCGTTGCAACAAATGACATTCCATCGGCGCGACAATAGGGCTTTACCGAGGTGGCAAAGAAATACAAATTATGGTAAATGGCAACGTCACCTAAGCACAACATATTTGCAGTGATTCTAAATAAAAAACGCTGTAAAACAATCGCTGAACGGTTACAATGGGATCGATATGCAAGAAGCTTTGCAGTTGCTTGTGGATTTCAAGTGGAAAATGTGCGTTTAAAGGAAAAACATTGAATTATTTACCTCTTTGCGTTTCTTAGCCTTCTTCTTCTCCGCCATGTTGGATGATGTACGGGTGACGTCTATCGCAGCTGAGAGGTTGTCAAACGCACGTTGAGCGGAGCGCCGTGCGACTGGCAGTATAACCTTTTCCCAACTCCAATGTTGAATGCCCGATGCGCCCTCACACCTTCCATTATTTGTGCGCAATTTTCACATATTTGAAACCACTGATGCAGTGGTAAATTGCCTGCAATTGCAATAACATAAAAAAAGCAATGCATTATTACATGATCAGATAATTGTAGAACACGAGTAAAGCCGCGGGGAATTTCCAAACCATAATTTCCTTTATGGACAATATCAAAGCGAATATTCAATTGAGATCAATCAAACTATGATTAAAAGCATAACTCTACAATTTACTTCATATTGAAACAAATTATCATCTGTATTAGAAAAAGTTATCCAAAATATTGTTGCATTAGAAGCATTCTGCATACAAAAGAATTTTAATTGTGTGAAAATGTAAATAACAAATTGTAAAACTGTAAATAATTTGAAATATTTACAATTAGATGGAAGGTGACTTTCATAAAATATTAGTTGTATTAACTGTATATTTTAATAGAACCGCAAATTGCTACATGCTCATTTCTAACGATTCCTTGCGGTTACATAATAATGTCCTTACAAATAGTTTTTAATCATATCCTGATTGAATATTAAATGCATAAAGTTAAGGTTGCAAACGTAACAATACTATGTTTATGTTCAATTATAAATATTACCAAAAAGTACGAACGGAATATTTGGTAAAGTAACGGTATTGGAGTGTTCCAATTCCAATCATGAAAATTAATGTTAATCTTTAATTTGTAATGTAGTTCTTATAACGGATATACGTGGTTTGTTTACAAACTTAACTTTCTCAAAAATTATAAGTCTTAAATATTTAAAGTGTTAATTTACAATTCTCTGAGGAAACACTCCAAACAAATACAAATATTAAACTACTAATTAACGATAATTAAAAATTATAAGTTCTTTCGTTGTTACAGGAGAAATGGCTTTTCTGGTTTTTAGAAAAAGAATCCAAATTAATTATTTTTTAATTAATAATCATAGACTGTTTAGTGGACAATCACGAAAAGATGTAGAATATAAGGTTGTTAATTTACATTAGTTATGATACACATTATATTAATTTTGTTTATTTTATTGCAGAAATGTTACCAAATATTAGGTATATCTGAAGAAAGTGACCAAGAACAGATCCGTAGAGCTTATTTAGAATTAGTGAAAAAATACCATCCAGACAGTCCCAGTGGAGATTCAAAGAAGTTCCAAGAGGTTTCTGTTCAAACTATAGTTTCTGTTAATATTTATGAATCTTGTTTATCAATTTTAGGTTGATCATGCGTTTCGTGTTTTAACTGAAAAGAAGTCACGAGAACGCTGGGACGTCGAGGATTCTTACGAGATGCCGGCTGAGGAATTCGATATTAAAGTACGTTTTATAGATTTAATTAGCTGTTCAATTATTTTGATTTATTCTCAGCACACAGCGCCTCAGCATAGGCAGTACTTGTCTTATGGTGGTGCTGGAAGCGGAACTCCTTTCCAAAGGGAAAAGCAGTATATGAAGATGAGAGCCATGCAGGCAGCAAGTAATGTACTTGAGCACAGGATATCCAAGGTCACGGCAGATGAAAAGTCTTTGATGGATAAAAAAGTACCGTTTAAGCATAAAATCAAGACGAAGTTAAGTTCTTTAACGGTTATGCTATGATAATAAACGTATAAATGGTGTGGTTTTAGGTACGGGTTTGATAGGTTGGTGGAAGATTTGATACAAGAATCAATGTCTAAAGGGGAATTCAATAATTTGTCGGGATGCGGAAAACCGTTAAACAAACATCAGAATGTGAATCCTTACGTGGATTTTGTCACGCATAAATTAAATCAAGTGTGTTGAAAATTCAGGAAAGTTTATTTGTTTATGATGTGTATAATTTAGGTTTTGATAGATAATGGTTTCACGCCGGAATGGATAACTCTGCAGAAGGAGATCAGAGAGGAAATCCAAGATTTGAAGGAGTCTTTGGCTGAGGAGAGATCAAAGTTTGGCGCGTATCCATTTGATGAGGAGATTAATGGAGATTGGGATGAAGTAGTTAGTAAATATGAGCAAACCGTGAAAAATATTAATAAGAAAATCAACCATTACAATTTGGTTGTACCAGTTTTAAATAAGCAAATGGTTCTGGTGGATTTGAATCGCGAAGGTAAGCAAGTTGCTGTCCAAGGCAAGCCTTACGATCCAAGCAAAACTAAGCCTACGGAAAAAGTTAAATTGGATAATAGAGGCGGCGAAGGAATCTGGGGTATCTTCGATACGTTGTTTAAGAAAAGTTGAAGTTTCTTGAAATAAACTTTAATTCCAAACGATTTTATTGTTTTCACCCAGAACCACCTTTCCGGTTGCCAACAATTTCAGGGCCTGCGGGAAAGCTTTGTGCTCAGCGCCCTGGATTCTCTTCTGTAGACTATCCGCGTCATCTCCAACTTCAACAGGTACTACTTCTTGGACGAGGATTGCTCCAGCATCAACATCGGCTTCAACAAAATGCACGGTGCATCCGCTGATTCTGACACCAGCATCTATTGCCTGCTGAGCTCCATCCATACCTCTGAAGAGCGGCAGAAGAGCCGGATGCACGTTGATCATTTTACCTCTCCATTTCATTGTGAAATCCTTGCTGAGGATTCTCATGAATCCAGCCAAACAGACCAAATCAATGTTGAATTTGCTCAACTCCTCGTCCATGGCTGCATCGAATTCTTCTCTGCTCGGATAGTCTTTGTGACAGAGCACTTTTGTCGCGATTCCAGCTTTCTTTGCGCGTTCGATGCCGAAAGCTTTTGCTTTATTCGAGATGACCAAGGCGATTTCGCAACCCATGGATCGGTCGTTGGAAGCATCGATCAATGCTTGAAGATTGGTGCCGCTACCTGAGATTAAAACGGCCACGCGTTTCTTAGGCACCGATTGCACTTTGAGGAAATAATCTTTCATCATCGGGCCCAAAGCCTGCGAGAAATTTTTCACTTCGACTTCCTCTTCTCTTCTGTTGATGATGTTACCAATAACCGTCGCTCCGTGAGGCTGCACCATCTTGAGAATTTCAGCCTCATCGGATTTGTTGACAACCAAAATACCGCCGACGCCGCAGTTGAAAGTGCGGAGCATTTCCACCTGATTCACACCACCTATAAAAATATTTGTACCGTTTAATTTATATTAACTGATAGCAAATTAATTGATTCAACCTGCAGCAGCGAGCCAAGCGAAAACTGGAGGTATGTTCCATTTGTTGGCGTCGATTTGCACTCCTAAATGTTTTGGAAGAACCCTGGGGATGTTCTCCACCAAACCACCTCCGGTTATGTGCGCGAAAGCCTTCACTTTACCAGTTTTCATTGCTGGAATGACGGCCTTTACGTAGATCTTTGTAGGAGTCAACAATTCTTCGCCTAAAATAAATTAATTAGAATGTCAATAATACCATATAATATGATACATACCGAAGCTTTTTTTGGAAGAGCTGAATGGAGCTTCATCTTTGTAACTGACGCATGCCAACTTCATGATTTTTCTCACCAAGCTGAAGCCGTTGCTGTGAACACCAGTGGATGGAAGAGCAATGATGCTATCACCTTCTTGGATACTACTGATGCGGGGAATCAGCTCATTCCTTTCCACCGCGCCAACAGCGAATCCAGCCAAATCGAATTCACCTGGTGGATACATGTCTGGCATCTCGGCAGTCTCTCCACCTAGTTTCATAGAAGTTTACATATATTTTCTTTCGATTTACTTAGGTATGTTTTAGGTACCAACTAAGGAGCATCCGGCTTGCCTGCAACCTTCCGCCACACCGGAAACCACGTCTTTGGCAACGCTAACATCCAGAGCGCCGCAAGCAAAGTAATCCAAGAAGAATAACGGCTCGGCTCCATGAGCTAAGACGTCGTTCACGCACATCGCGACTAAATCAATTCCGATAGTGTCGTGCATTCCCATCTCTTGAGCAATCTACAAATATATCATTTGTGATAACTAATATAACTTTAGAATTGATTTGCTTACCTTGAGCTTAGTGCCAACTCCGTCTGTACCTGAAACCAGAAGAGGATCAACGTAACCGGCTAGTTTAGTGTCGAAGAGACCTCCGAATCCACCTAAACCCCCCATGACACCTGGCCTATCCGTTGATTTAGCGGCAGGTTTAATGTGGCCCACCAAATCATTTCCAGCTGATATATCAACGCCGCTTTCTTTGTAAGTTAACTTTCCGGTATCCAAAATGGACCTAACATATACATAATTAATAAAATATTACAACTACGTATATATTTTGTATACGAAGCAAATAAAATAGCTTACTTAGCAAAAGCTTTGTGTGCGATGTCTTTTCTAAATTGCGCTCCATCAAATTTAATAGTGTAACAAGCCTTTGTAGCTCTTTCAGCGGCTGTTGTCAATTGTGGAGCCAAAGCGACTGCGATTAAAACTCTTCCACCGTTCGTGACAAGCTTACCGTCCTTCAAATCGGTGCCGCAATGAAAGACGATTTGATGTTGCGTATTATCCACAGCTTCGACACCTAACAAAGCAAATCTTGTTGCGTTATTGCTGCACTAAATGCTATCGCCTAAATTGATTACCGGTGATGACCTGTCCTTTGCTTGAACTTGCCGGGTATCCTCTGGAAGCCATGACAACGCCTACGGCTGAAACATTTTGCTTCCATTTCAGTTGAATTTGATCCAAAGTCTGATTGCAGCAAGCCATCATGACTTCGTACAGATCCGAATCGAGCATCGGCATGATGACTTCCGTTTCCGGATCTCCGAAGCGACAATTGAATTCCAAGACTTTTGGTCCATCCGGAGTCAACATTAATCCAGCGTAAAGAACACCAACGTATTTAATTCCTTCTTCATTAAAACCTTTCATCGTTCTTTCCAGAACCTCCTTCTGGACAAACTTCAGCTGATCTTCACTCATGAGAGGACAAGGACAATAAGCGCCCATGCCTCCTGTGTTCGGACCTTCGTCATTATCGAAAATCCTTTTGTGGTCTTGAGCCGGAAGCATCGCCTTTATCGTTTTACCATCGCAGAAAGCTAGAACCGAAACCTCTTCGCCTTGCAATAACTCCTCTACGACAACGGTTTCTCCGGCCGTCCCGAATTTATTCTCGCTTAAGATCTCATCCGCAGCGAGACAAGCTTCCGTTTGATCTTTGGCCACGATAACACCCTTTCCTGCTGCCAATCCGCTGGCTTTCACAACCAACGCAGGAAACGAAGAACTAAAATTTCAAATTTTAAAAATTCTCAATTTACACCGCTTAATATAATAATTACTTCTTAATGAAATTTTGAGCATCAGCGGAATTCGTGAAGGATTTCCATTTAGCTGTAGGTATTCCATGTCTATCCATGAAAGCCTTGGACCAATCCTTGTTAGATTCAATGTTGGCTCCATTCTGCTCAGGTCCAAACACCTGGATTCCTTGCGATATCAGGACATCGGCGATTCCTCCGGCCAAAGGATCTTCAGGTCCGACGACCACCAAACCAATATCGTTCTCCTTACACCAACTGGCGACATTCTAAAGTACAATTAAATAAAATCATTAATTTATAAACACTTCATTTAAATAATTTTGATACGTGAAATTTTAAATTTAAAAACATTGTAATTCAATACATATGTAAACAGTTACTGTAAACACGTGCTCGTTAAATACATGTATTTATTTATAACCTCACCTCGAACTTCTTGATATCAAGTTTAACCAGCTCGGTTTTCGGCAGCTGCGAAATTGCGTGGCTTCCGGGCGCCGCGAAAATCTTCACGGTTTTCTCGCTTTGCGCCAATTTCCACGCTATGGCATGCTCGCGACCTCCTCCACCAACAATCAGAACTTTACCAGACATCTCTTTCTCTCTTGTTGTTGTTGAACTGAGTACGTGACCGTCGAGGAAGTCCCAAGAAACCGGTTTCCTGCCAGCCTCTTCGCTCTGTACTTACAACGAACGAATTGCTACGCAATCATTGACTTCAATAATACACGAGCAGTTTAAGATCTGCGCTGGTGGTGCAACTACTATTACATTGGAGAGGGTCAAAAGTGCTGCGATAAGAGTCCGTCTTTTTATCTATCGTCAGTGAAATACTATATGTTTATACATATGCGAAGGAGAAATGAAAACATGGAAAAATCCGCGCGGAAATTGTGAAAACTTATAGGATATATACATTGAAAATTAAATGTAATATGAAATTTATACATTTTAACTTTGCCGCTTTATTACCAATTATAGAAGATGTGGGCGTCCACGGGGATGGACTGGGAGGAGCCATGTATTAATTTACCAATTAGATACTTCAAAATACATTCAAACTATAAACACTAGAAAATAAGTTATAATTATTAGATAAATTTACTCATCTTCCTTTATATTATTTGATTTTGTCAACTAGTTTAACTTTAAGAATTGAGGAATTCTTTTGTGACAATAGTAGCAACATTCTTTAACAATAAATGCTCTCTTCTTCAGAATATTGTTATCGTTAAGATTGTCAAATTTAAGCCTTTAAATTAACATTTCACTTGTCCAAATTTATAATTGTATCCTAGATCAGAAGTCTATTGAAGTTTAATCTTCGCAGCCTATTTACTACAATATCTGATGTAACATCTGTCGTAATTACATCCTCAATTGACTAACATAGGTCATATTTCCAATTTATTAATTTAATGTCTTTCGATAATTCGATCCAAACCTATTTATTCTAAATAAGCTTTAGATACATAAAAATGTTCAAAAGTAAATTATTGTTGCATTTTCAGTAAAATAATCAATTTAACCTTTAGCCTTAACGTTAGCCCTTTGGCCAGCCTATTAGTATATATATTTTTATTGTATGTTAAAATTTATTTATGTATAATTTGTACTTTTTTCTCTCTTCTTCTTATGTATCGATGTTTGGCCAATAAATTATTATTATTAATCAATTTAATTAATTAGATTAGATTAGATTACTTAAGTATAATAATAAATAATCAATGAATCATATAATTAGAGTTGAGGTGCAATGAAATAGCTAGCATTAAAAAATGTCGTCTTTGCATGAAACGATAAAACAGCTTTTCCATTGTGGACTAGAGCATTCTCGAAATCTCCCTCGTCCTTGAGAAACTGCGTTGTTTGAAGTTGTTTTTCTAGAATATCGAAATGTCGTTATTATTCCCAACAAAAGAGATTTGGAATGTTCAAATTTTACCGCTTAAAATGCTGTCAGCGGTGGGAACCAATCCAGACCATTTAATTGATATCACCATGCTCCATCGGCGAAAACACAATTTGTGTGTGCACAGCCGGGCATATTTATGATGTGTTTATAATATTTTCGTTCGAAATTCGATGTCTTTGTTCCATCTCGGCAAGAACATACTGAAATTTCTTGTGCGAACAGTGAAATTAAAGTGTGCCTGTCTGTTTTGTCTGTTCTATTCTTAAGATCTAATTCCCTTTTTTTTCTATTACTCTTGTTTTCAAAATCTTCTAATTACCATGTCTACTGCGCTACCTGAAACCCAAACTCCTGAATTCCTCAGCCTTACCCCGACGATGAAGAACAACATCAAACCTGCACTTAATCCATGGGGAAGACTTTATTCAACTTATATCTTCTTGGAACCCTTTGGTAAATTGTTGATATTTTTTTGATCTTCATAAAACGTAATTTACGTAACTTTTAGATCTCGTGCAGATGAGCTTTACGCTGGGAAGGGCAGAAAACAGTGATGTTATCATTACTGCTGACAAGGTGCCTGTGCATAGGGTGACAAATATAAGTAAAGTACATTTTAAAATTTACAAGGAAAATGGCCTTGTTTACATCACAGATTTGAGCAAAAATGGTACATTTATCAATGGGAAACTTATTGGGAAGGGAAACATGAACATCCTTCAGAATGATGATGAAATTGCCATTGGGTTTAAAGGCCTTAAAGGTTTGTGGTTTTTATTTAACATTATGGTTGTAATAGCTGTAGCATGTTTTTCAGTGTATGTTTTTAAAACAATGCAATCTGATGATAACAAGTACCTTCCACCTGAGTTGAGGAAGAAGTACCAGGTGTCTCGGGTTCTTGGGACTGGAGCTTGTGGGGAAGTCAGATTGGTCTTTGATAAGGTTCATTGCAGTTCAATTAACTTGTTTCACTAACAATTAATTAACATTAATTTGTGTAGGAGACCTGCATCCCTTATGCTGTTAAAAAAGTGGTGAAGGGGAAGAATTCTGCAAGCACTCAGCACATGCTCAACCATCCATCAAAGATCAACGCTGAAATTAACATCTTACGGTCTTTGGATCACGTAATTTAAATAATCGCACAGTTGTTCGTTTTATCTATAGTTCAAATTTCAGCCTTTCATTATTTCAATGAAAAACATCGTCGAAACCGAGGAGTGCGTTTTCATGGTTCTGGAATATATGGAAGGCGGTGAACTCAACGATCTGATTCTCTCCACTCAGCGAATTAGTGAAGAACAAGTCAAGTTCTTATTTTATCAAATATTGTTGGCTGTGCAATATCTTCATAGTAAAGGCATCACGCATAGGGATTTAAAGGTGCGAAGCACTTATTTAGTTTGAATTACACCAAATTCTATTTGTTGATGTTTCAGCCTGAAAATGTCCTCTTGCAAGAGTGCAAACCTAGTTCTATGATCAAGATTTCCGATTTCGGGTTAAGCAAAATCTTGTCCGATGAAAACGATTTGATGAAGACTGTTTGCGGGACTCCTAGTTACGTTGCGCCTGAAATCTTGGATAGATCTGTAGACGCTTATACTCAGAAAATCGATGTCTGGAGCTTAGGCGTTCTCCTCTTCTACATGCTCAGTCAAGATTTACCTTTCAGGTAAATAAAATGTATAATTATATTACTTGTTTTCTTTATAAATTGATATTTCAGAGCTCCTGAAAGGACGTTATTGAATAGGAAAATCTTAAACGGGTATTACGAGTTTTCCGGAGACGTTTGGAAAACGGTTAGCGAATCTGCAAAAGATCTGGTCAAGAGCATGCTGACCTTGAATCCAGAAGATAGAATTTCCATCGAACAAATCGTAGCCCATGAATGGATCCAAAAGGTAATTAAATACTCATAAATATCATTCACAAATATATGTTTTTCTTTCTCAGGACAATTTGACTGTACAAAAAGTGGAATATATACTCTTCGGTCAAAAAGAGACCATGTGCGTCGACGATAATGATTCGGACAATGACGACGACAGTATTATCTATTCCCCGCGTTTAAAACGCTCAAAGTTATCCGAAAGTATTCTCGACTAATTATTATTTTTGTTTGTTTTTTTTTTGCCTAGATTTATATAAAAAGTATTATCTATGTTCTATTTGTGTTACGGAGATTTATAGAAATCTTAACTTCATCTTTGACGTATTCGTTAAATCAATCAAAAACAAATGTATTACTTATATATTTTCTTTAAATGCTCTTATATATTTTTTTGTTATTTATATATTTATAGTGCAATTTTAATTGCCAAAAATATGCACTGCATCAGTGGTCAAATGTTGTGTTAAAATATTGTTGATTGCGCCACTTATTCTCAAGTGCATTTTTATACTTTCTACCAATAAATATTTTTGCTACATTGTTCAATATATTTACACCTTTTCTTAATTATTTTATTTTATAAATTTATTTTATTTTATTATTATAAATTTCTACAATAACATTTTTATGGTAGTCGGGATTTCGATATAGTCGGGATTTTGACATTGTCGGGATTTCAAGCGTCGGAATTTTAATACTGTCGGGATTTCAATAAATGGTCTTTCGGTTGTCGGGCTTGCAATTGCAACCGCAAGGAGATATATTATATAGTGATAAAAAAATAACTGTCCAAACAAAAATTGATAATTAATAAAATATAACATTTGTTTCTTTTGTCGTTTTTTTATTAAATAATTGTGTTGTCTACATTGAAAAGTATTTGTTTATTTTAATCTATTTTTTCAAATTTATGTAGTCAGTAATACCGAATTTAACGTTATATAAACGTAAAAACCATGAAAGTCTGGTAAGACAAGTATATTTTTTTAAATTCCCCCGACTTACGAACAACTTTTTGACTGAACTAATTCGTATGTCGATAATTACCTGTAATTTGTTTTTAAGTAAGTAGTAAAGTAATATAATTTAAAAGGAATTTTGTAGATCCTAGGATCTGCATAAAAGGAAGGTCTTACAAAAACCTATTACATGGAAAATAATTATGGATTATAACGAAAACTTAAAATTATGAAACAAAGACGCTTAATTACGCAAATGTAAGTAATAGATTTTACTAAGATAGGCATCCAACAATACAAATTACTCAACTCTGAAATGTTAAATAATAACATTACTATGAAAGTGGATAAAAAAAATATAGGATTGATTCAGATTCTAGGATGATTAAGTCTAATTTAAAGCGGAACAAGAAAAATCATATAATCAACATATTATCAAATATAAATCTTTTTTTTATATATTTATTTCCTCGATAAAATCAGTCTTTTTTTATACAATAAACGAATAGTAAATAAATCCTAGAATGCGGAGTTCTACAGGAGGAAAAATAAGCTTTTCGCAACGGAGAGAACCCGTCGATTTAAGAAAAGAAGATAATTAACACTAAGTTATAATGTTTAGAAGAGAAAAAAATAATAATTACAATAAATTAAATATATATATATCCACATGTAATAAAGTGTGCTCGAGGATGGAACAAGACGTAGTATTTACTCAATAAAAATCTAAACATGGATCCTCGAAAAACAAATAATATACACAAGTCATTTTCTTCTATATAATCATATTTTATATATAAATGTATGTATAACCTTATGGATTACCTTTTTTTAGATACACATTATTTTACAAATATTAATATAAATAAAATGAATAAATAAATACAAGACAGTGTTGTTTCGTTTCGTTTTCTTTTTGTATCTCCCATCCCTTTTAGCAGGGCTCTCTTGATTTCAATTTTCGAATTGAGCAAAAAATCCTCGCTGCAAGTATTTACTTTGGTATTCTGATGTAACCTACACACACAAAAAAAAGAACGTTTCAATCATTCTGGATGCGACGCGCGACGTCCGTGGATTTAAAAAAAAAGAGTTTTCTTTTAGGAACACAATTTTCGTTATGCACTTAAACTTAAAGCTGCACAAGAACTGTCATCATCGGTAATAAACGCAATCAATCACTAAGAAGTTCACTAATTATGTACACACGCACAAATTCGTATAACGGATAGAGCAAATGATGATGGGGTGATGGTGATGGTAGTGTCTGTATGTGCGTTAAGTGTTCGTTCAATGTTGTCACATCGATATGCTTGATTCTCCACTGTTTTAACAGGTCATCAATCTACTCTGTTCCGTTTCCGTCGCCATCAGATTGTTCGGTTCCGAAAGTCCAACTGAAAAATGTGATCGCAAAAGGCAAAATTACTTGAAAGTTCGTGGTAGGTGCAGCCAACCAAGAGGACGGTACAGGACGTATCACTAAGCGATTATTGTTGTTAGTCATGAGTTAACATTTGAGAAATCGTTAAAAATACTCAGTTTGTTAAACGAGTCAAGGTGGATACACACATGAAACTTGTCAAGTATCGCGTAACAAATGCATAATTGGAAATGCGGTACAAGTACTTGAAAAATTTTAGTGTGGAGACACCTTTATGGATGCGGTGAGCTTTGCAACAAAAGCTCGAAATATGTTCCGCCTATAGAAAGGAGGATCAATAGAAAAAAGGTTTAGTTGAAAGAATAAATCAGGTGCATGCTGTTAATTGTAGGAAAGCCAGAAATCAAGGTTTCGTCTATTGTTAGTCTTGATGACAAAGGTAAGAGAAAAGGCTGTTTTACTAAGAATTCTGCACTCACTACGCCCCCAACACCACAGGTAGGTAAACAGTAGAAAGTAGAATGTAAAATAATAAAATCAACGTACAAACTAAAGGTATTGTTTGACTTTTTTATAGCATTGATTAGCTGGATGTCCTTGCACTTGCAGGATCCTCATGGGGGGTCTGCATGTCTTGTGGCAGCTCTAAATACACACACACATTCGTTAAATAGTTTATCCACTCGTATCAAACAGAATTCGCTGCGGAGAGATAGAGAGAAGAAACTGCTACAAGACATTAAAAAAAAACTTGTAGCTAAGCAGTTTCAAGGACTCTCCTCTCCATTTTTGGACTACTACATTCATGCAGGATAATTAATGCAAATCACGTGATCTCGATCGAAATTGTCTTGCTGTTAGGTCGACTCATGCATCAAAATGCGTCATTTCAAGTATTTTTTTTTTAAATAAGATAATTAAGTTAAATTTATAATTACTCTACACGATTTTCGCATGCCCATAATCACCTTTGAGCGCCTTCTCGACTTTCTTCTTGTCCTTTACTATATAGAATGCGTTGATGAGGAAGAAAACTCCTCCGAGTACTTCCACGAAACACGTGATGAAAAGCGCGTACTGCAACGAGTGGAAATCTGTGGATGCGTCCGGCGTACCATTGCCCAATTTGATTTTCAATACATCGGATACCTATATAAACATTATATCAAGATCAGTCTTCTTTGGTAATAAATAAAGTTTCGAATAAACTTACGACTCCGATCAAATAAGGGCTTCCGGCATCGCCGAGAGCGTGAGACACCAACATTTGTAGTCCTTCAGCTGTAGATCTTCTTGTAGGTAAAACAACGTACTAAAAGATTAAAAAAGATATTAACATTATGAAAGTTTTCCTCTACACTTCGACGATTATGGAGCTCATGCAAGGAAGGTCTTATGAATAAAGCTACAAGGAAACATGCAATGCTGTTACAAGACTACAATTAAGGATATTTCAATAATTTTGCAAGTTAATGGAATGTTTCTTAAACTTTATTCAAATTCTCTCTGAAAGAATTTCTGAAGAATTTAAATAAAGCGCCTAATGTTCGTGCAACCAACATTACACTCATGCATTTTGGGTGGCGTGCATAATGATAAAATAAGGAGTGCAGGAAGCGAAGCAGACAAAAATAAATTACATTCTTACTCTTTCTCTCTCTTTACATAACGCTTTTGTTTTTTATGCTTGTTTCTTTCTTTCATGCCAAAACCCCTCCACCGTCGCCAACACCCACGTATATCGAACACGCTCAAGCAATCTTCTCTTAATTTAACTTCTCCAAACGCATATGGTTTCAATCACGCCATATCCTGTTATTTCCCCAGTTTTTTCCTCCCTTATATCCACCAATAATTACATCATTCGCAGATAGGACAAACAGAAGCAAAACAAACATCGATTCGCTTGTCTATCGTTACAAAATAATATAAATATATAAAGCAATTTGATTCAGTTTGTCGAATTCATTTTCATAGCGTGAACGCACTTCCTCTTCTTACGTTTAAAAACTATACAACGAAACGAAAAAATAATGTCTTTGGGCAATAGTCAACAGAAATTACACTTGGTAGATAAAATGGTGAAAGTCGAAAACGAAACGTCTGGATGAATGATGTCACGTAGATGGCAAAAAAAAACCAAACGCAATTCGATGGATTAGTGAAATGATTACGACACCTTCGAGAAGATTAATTGAAATTAATTTGCAGTTTTCTTTGTTTTCTCGTGAAAATGAATCGTGCTATTAAAAAAAAAAAAACAAAAAATATATATGTATGTATATAAATATCAAGAGTAAATGTCGATGCAAAAGAGAGTAAATTAATGTACAGAAGCAGCACAAATCACACAAACAGCAGCAATTATTATTTATTTTGGAAACCTTAAAAAGCGTATGATCTGTAAAACATTTCCAAACCTAATGCAGTGTGTAGAAGATATTACTATTAGTGTTAAAATAAAAGTTATTGAAATTATCTCTTATAATAAATTGCATAAAAAGACATTAATATAAAATATAGATGTTTCTTTTTTGTAAAATTGACTTCCAATTGAAATTAATAATTGAAGAATGCTGAAAATATATTATTTTCACTTACTTTGTATCCTTTGACCATGCAAATATTAAATAAATATTATTTAAGTAGAAGAAATATTTGGAAGTAATTAAATTTAATTATTTGTATTTGAAGATGTGAAATAATAGTAAATTAAGGTTGATTTGAAGTTAATAATGGAGTTGGAATTGTTTGGAAAGTTTACAGTGATTAGCATTCGCTGTTTTAAGATAGCCCAAAAAAAAATGTATGAAAATAAAATGAAAAGCTGAAATAAATAAAATTGACTACAAAAATAAAATAAAAAGAAGCGAAAATATAGTAGATGCAATGGAATACATAAGCGAGGATGAAAAAAAAAAAACTTTACACCAAGGACCAGTCACCAAGAAGTATGTATGTACGTATAAATATATAAACATGAGGAGGCTGTATGATTGTATCATACAATCTCGTTTGTAGTGATCTGATTTGTAACAGAAATGCCGGTCCTCTTACCAATGTAATGTCCGCGACTATTGCCCAATTTAGGTTGAGAGCGACTTGTCCTAAGAAGAGCAGCGCGTAACATAGGTAGGAGTTGCTGGTACAAGTGAGCATAGCCCCGACGAGCAAAGGGGTCGAGACGAGCAGACCCCCAGCACAAATCAGAGGATCAGCCGTCGGCCATCGCTCACCTAAGCTTTGGCTCAACGCGCAACCCAAAGCTAGGCCAATCACTCCGGCCGCTATCGTTATCACTCCGAAAATGAACGACAAACTGAAACAAAACCACACAAGAGACCGACCGTCTCGATCAAACGTCCAAACCAAATTTGTAGTAACAGAGTAATACAAAAAAAAAAAAAATTAAAAAAGTACAGCAAATAACATTCGTTGGGCGTATTTCGTGTGGACGTCCGATGTGTTCGCTCTTCCATGCTCGAGGCGCATCCTTACCAACAGTATATCCGCCACTATGGACCAGGTCATGTTCATTGAGACCATGCCCACGCACACGAAGAAGTAGCACCAGTTTCCGCTAACTGGTGCAGTGACCAGAGCTAAGAACACTACTGGTGCGGAAATCATCAATCCAGCAGCGCACAAATGCGGATCGATCCGATCGTACATCGGCCTCCATCTCTGGGCCAGGAAACTGCCCAACGGCACTCCGATCACTCCGGCCACCATCGCCACAGTGCCGAACATAAACGGCACACTAAAAAAACAATATTTATAAAGCCACGCACTCACAATTGGACAAGCTTATAGTACACCTAAGAACAACAATCTAAAAGAAAAAGACAGAAATGATTCAAAAAAATGGAGAACCATCAGATTAAAGTATTCGCGTAGAGATCTAAACCAAGGATCGGCAACTTTTTTAATGCTCGCTTTAATGCACCGATCCCTGATATCAATAATACAAAGTAGACATACTCATCGTGTTTTTCATCAGATCCGGGATTTTGCAGAGCCATGCCCAAAGTAAGCAGTGTGGGACCCCACCAGGCCAAAGCTCCGGCAACGAACGCCACGCAGGTGAATCCCAAACTGGACAAGATGAAGCTTCCACTAAAATTGGATTAGTTAATATCGTCATAACGAATTTTGGTAGATTGTAGTACTTCTGCATGAGGGCCTTCAGGTCCTCTTTCAAGGTACCCGCTTGTAGGTGACCACTATCCTCGCTCTGACCACGTTCTGGATCTTGGAGCACGAAGAAGATGAGCAGCACGGCGAGGAGACCCAAACCAGGAGTCACGCGCAACGCCCACTGCCACGCCCCGAAAGCCTTTGAAGTTTCAGCGCCGACTATGTAACCCAAACCACTAAACAAAAGAATAAATCAAATTAAATCTTTTGCAATAACAATTATTATAATTTAATTGATTAAATATATCAATTAAGAATAAAAACTTCATATCAATTACTTAATCAAATAACATAAATTTCAGACAAGAATTGCAATTAAATTTGATGAGTCTTATTTGCATTTGTCGACGGCTGCTGTAGTCGCAATTACCGACAATGTCAAGAATTAGCTATAATTAGAAGACGTGACCTATCTTTAGACAGGCTATCACCCGAAAACAGCCTTGGAATATAACAGATTTGGCAACAAAAGGTTGTAATCTTTGTACCTAGTCAACTTTTTCATTTTAAAGAAAATAATAGTATTTAAAGGTCCATAAGCACAAGTAATCTTAAAAAAAAAACAAATATTTACTAATTTGTAAATATTCTATAAGTCGAGTTTCCTTTGCATTATATTAAAGATTAAGTGAATATTCTTGATATCTAGTCTTAAGTGGTTTACAAAAGGAATTTACTTAAGGTAAGATACATTAAAACAATGGTTGAACAAGCAATTTGACGACTCGCTCAGCAGGTTGTTCAAGAATTAGGAATTTCCAGCATCCGTTACTATTTTACTTTTTAAAGTTATTTATATAAGCAATGTATTATTACATTACTTTGAATCGTTTAACTAAATAGTTTGATACAAAAACAAATTTAAATTATGTTTATAGATATAGATCATTCCTATTTATGATTATATATATAATTCGAATGTAATTCAAAGCAATCAATTTCCAATTTTCTAGCGGTTGCAAGAACTGCATGTTAATGCGACCCCATGGGATCTGAGGTCAACTCGATGCATACATAAAACTCTCTTAGAAAACCCACGCAGAGAAGCAGACGAACTCTTCGGGCGTTTTCATCAAGATTACAAAAACAAATATCCGTCCGAAAGGAAATGTTGGGAGGCGATAAAGCTGTGTACACACGCGCTTCGGATGAGAGGGAGATGATGCAGAAGAGCAGAGAGTAAATATACGGCAAACAAAACAAAAATGAATTTTTGTTTCAGGTCTGAGAGCGTAAATATTTACAAAAGAAAAATAGAGATAATTCATTCTCTCTGCCCGCGTTATCTCATTGATAGTGGATTACGCAAAACGACCCCAATTCATTGAGTGTCACCATTGAGACTCACCTTCCAACCGGTATGGCGAAGTAGAAGAGGGCCAACATCTTGGATCTTACGTTCTTTATAAACAGATCGCTGATGATCGTTGGGGCTATCGTGGAATAACTGGCCTCTCCGATTCCAACGAGCGCTCTGAACATGATGAACATAGGGAAATGCTGTAAGTTGTAACAAAAATTAAAATAATAACGTAAATTCATTTGAAGTAAAAAATTAATTAACTCACATCCATGAAGGAGCCGACGAGGGTGGTGAGGCTCCAAAGCAGAACGCCTCCAGTCATGATGTAACGTCTGCTGTATCTATCACCCAGGTATCCGAATAACGGCGCGAAGACCATGTAGCTGAGCACGAAGCTCGTCTGCAGAAGTCCACCCTCGCTATCACCAATACCAAACTCTTTCTTAACATCATCCAGTATACCTAACGACAAAGAAAAAACATTAGGTTCAGAATAAGTGTATAAAAATAAAACGGGAATGGGATGGGCTTTCTCGCATTTCGCGACTTCTCAAGAAACAATCTAAAAATAGTCTCCCGAGTTTCATCATCATGCAAACGCAGACATGACTAGTATTTTCTTTTTAAATTCCCGGGATCTCCTTCCTAGTAGCTACTGCACTTTCAACGGATGCATTTGGAGTAGACAAAAGAAAATCAATTTCCGGTTTGTCCGCCCTTAGATAAGATTGACGAGTTTCCGGGGTAAACCGCGATAAGCCGTCGGTAATAATGGCCGTAATGCAATTAACGGGACGGGGGTTGTAATCGTACTGGGTAAAGGAAGTGAATAGGCATGAACTATTGCCGCAGTTTCCCTTGCATACGGATGGGGCTTTATCAGATTACGTTTATGTGTGGTGTTCGCAGCCACTTTTCGTTGTTGTTTTCTGGATCACGAAGCCGGACAATATCTCATCCAATTTAACCAATTCCGAGTGTCATTGTGAAATATGTACAGGCACGCTTCCAATATATGGTTGCTCGCAAGGCCTCTTCCTCCTCACTCCTTCCTTTCCGCTCCATTCACAAACTAGTTTTGTTTCCTTATCACGGCCGATTGTCGACGCATAAATTACGATCACGTACTTTTGACTGCCCGTCGAATTGTCCTAAATTGATTTATGTGACTTTCTCCTAATTCGTATAGTTTACACTAATTTGTACCAATTGCTTTATAAATATACATCCAAAGACACACATCATTTAGATCAGTGATTTGGACATATTTTACCCACACCAAAACCACACTTTGAGAATCACTGATTTATATTATTCAATTAATAATACAAATAAATAAAGTTATGCAATAATTATTCATTTCATTTCATACTTTTCTGTTCTATTATTATTTAAACAATTATTAAAATTATAATATTTTCAAGGTTTTCTAATAAGTAAAATAACTAAACATTAAAAATTATTTTTATAGCTTAAAGAAAGCAAGTCCACTTCGTGCACAATATGCTGCGAAAGGCTATTGACCGAAAACTTTCAGGTTTAATATACGAAATTTACATAGCGTATACTCTTTATCGCAGTAATTTCATCGCAGTGAAAGCGCTTTAACTCAGTGATACTTAATTTTTTTTAAACGATTATATTACTAAGAACTATGCGTAATTGCAAGAGGAAATGTAAAGAAAAGAAAAAAATGGAAACCCACGTCGACCAAGAAGTCAAGGCTTCAAACAAATATAGAAATCGCTGAATTAATTGTTTTTTTCAAGGAAAACAATATTAAACTATTTTCTTTTCGTCGTGATACAAAGAAAATTTCGACTTATTACTATTGATAGCGAAACATTGGTTTCGAGACAAGCAACCAATTCTTCATTTACTATGTAATACCAGCAGTGGATACATTTAGTCAAGTGAGGAATAAAACAATAACAAATAATTGTATACTTGTTGCAAAATCATTGTGGCGTGGCGCTTATCAACATGTTATATAATTGAAAGTATTTATAGGCAATAAAAAAACAGAAGCAATTTGATGCAAGTATTATATTCGAATGAAAGAGTATTGTGTTTTTAACGACTTTTAGGTGTTTAAGAATACAACAATACGCAATACCTCGAATAGTCCGATTTCTATTAAATTTTTCCAATTAATAAATTTATTGTTTAAAACGCATTATTTTAATTAAACTGAATTCCTTGAATAATAAACAATATAAAGTATTTTTTGGTTCAATTGTGTATTAAGAAATTTATTTCGTACTTGAGTCTAGTATTATTACTTTGAACCTGGAATCAACATTAACATAATTCTGTGAAGAGTCCGGTTTCAATTATCCAGACAATGCGAGTTATAGCTGCATTGTATAATGTTTTACACGTAAAACACTAACACATCAAGGATTTAATTGATGTTGGCTCACTTTGCGTGTTTTGATTGCTTTTATAAACAGGTTTGATGTAAGAATCGCGTCTACCGAAAAACCGGCCAGTAGATATGTTCAACAACCGACGTTGTTTATTGACGCAGTTTTGAATTGTTTCCATTGTGGAAGAAATTTATGGAGAGGTAACAAAATAAGTCGCATAATGCATCGAATGATGCATTATTGCTCATTCGATAATTAATAACAAAATGCACATCGGATTTCGGGTCTGACCAATGGAATGGTGTCCATAAATCATGGTTTTCGTTCCTTGTTACAAGGATAAATCCTGTTGTGTTGTGTATAGTGAGTGTGTGTGTGTGCATAAGTTTTCATAATTTACAACCAACCCCCAAAACAGAATTTAAAGAGATAAATCCGAGTGATATACGGCACAGCTGTACTCCATGAATATATTACACGACGGACACAGATAATAGCATCGAAGTGTGTTATTATTATATGGTGCGCCCCCATAACGTGAAATTGCCTTCGAAGGAGAGCCCCGTCTCGGTCTCCTATATCTTGAGCCACGTAGTAAACAACCCTTTTGTATGCCCCCAAGAACCGAAACCATTCATTCCTTCTTCGCATCGATTTATGTCCATCCAGTACGTACGTGAGACAATTTGAAAGTTGAAAATTAGCTGCGCTATATACACCGAAACCTGAAGAAATATACAACAAAAACAACTCCCCAATTTGATGTATCGATGATGCATGACTTGTTAAAAGCGCCTAATCGATCAATATTCACATCCATTAGGGTTGCTTGCTGCACATCAACCATCCTAATGCATGAGGCCTGAAGCCTAAATATGGATAAACGGGAAGAGATTCACCACAAAGTGCTCATTGTAATTCAAGAATCGCAACCCCAAAGAGCGTTTCGCTGTTACCGTCTTCCACTTTTTTTTATCGAAAGAAGAAGAAAATAACACTGTCAATTGCAGAGCTCGTAATCCACTTTGGAAATTCCGTTTCCTGCTTTCCGCTCGAAATAAACCCGATTTAAAATAACGTCCAAGAAAGCAACAACTCATGAATCAAATATTAAGTCTGTTATAATGCACGCAAGCTACACTAATCCCGAACACACATGAAGAAATAGCCACGTCACGAAACTAATCTCATCCCTTTTTTTTTCATATTTCATTCACAACTCAAGCATTACAAATAATATGCTGTTATTATCAAATCTACGATAAAATAAACATTTTATAAACTATTTTACCAATATATATTTTGAGATAATAATTTGATAAAATAACCGTTTCCACGAACTATTTCTAATGCAGTTTCATCGATTTATTTAACATGTAATGCAATGCTCACAAAGCTAAAGGTTATCGAACTTTGACCTAAATATACGTTTCTAACATCTTCATTTCTATGTTATATTAAACATCTAATTATTTTAACAATCTTCATAAAACTATAAAACATTAGAAGTTAAAATTTCATCAATCCTTGACAGTTTCCATTTTCCGCACGGTTTAGGAAATCCAGTAATAAATTACTAGGATACTTTTAGGTGATCGTCCAAAATTTATGTTTTTAAAAGTCCCCTGGAATAATGACACCTCCTACCCTCACACTTCACCCTCACTAATTAAGCTAAAACAAAAATAAACAATAAAAACGAAATTTATCGAGCGAAACAGAGGAGAAAAAAAACATCTGTCAGGCATTAGTCATAGCGCACCCCTCAATAAAAAAAATAACTCGCTTAAATCTATCGCATATTTTTGAACAGTTCCATTACCAAAACTATTTATAATAGTTCCATCTCCACTTTTGTACTTGATTTTGTTATTAAATGTATTCAAAATTATTAATATTGTAAGAATACTTAAAGATTTATTACTGTTCTACTTGAGTGATATTTAATTTATTTGTCCCAAGTCAGTAAAGGTTATTAACGCAAAAGCAATGTATTACATATTTTGTAGAATGTAAGAAATTTAAACTTTTAAAACATGCTTTTAAGATTTATAAATATTATCAGTTTGTAATTTTAAAAGTTATGAGCAATAAGCGAAATGAACTTAGTCCTCCGCTGTACGTAATAAATATTCAAGGATGTGTCTGGTCCGAGTAAATATGCATGTAATAATCATTTAAACTTCATCAACAGTAAACATTATTTCTGTATTCATTCCAATACTTTCTACTTAGCTGCACGGTTGGAAGCTTTATTTCCGAGTAAATGGGTTTCGACTTGGAAAGACTTAATTAAGAGCATTCTTTAGATAATCCCATCAATTAAAATAACATTTACGAATAGTTTCGTTGCGCCACGACCCTGCACTTGAATTCCAGCGACAATGACTCTTACAAATATGCTAACGATCTTTAAAAAGAAAAATTTAGAGTATTTTGTACGGACTAGTATTGAAAATAAATAGCGGACAAAGTAATAAAGCCTTGGGACAGGCTCCAATTATATTTAGACTTTTGACCTTTGCGCTACTGCACGAAAAGAAAAGCCAAAATAAAGAAAAACTAAATAAAATAAAAATGTTGTTTGAACACAAGCAGAACTCTGACGTTATTTATTTTTTTTTATCAAAAGTGTGAGAAGAAAATTCGGTAAACAAGGCGGCACCTTCTGTATAGGGGTCCATCCATTAATCGGGCATGCTTGATGGAATGCAGTCAGTGAATTAAAACTGAAGAAGGAAAAAAAATATAATGATCAGATAATAAAAGAGTATGAGGGAAGATGACGGAGGGATACAACACGAAACCCCGGAGGACGTTAATGGTTACATGCGTTAATGGCTCTTGGTATCTCTTCATCGACGTTTCAAACTCTTACACGTTACTATTTTTTATTCCAGTATATATTTTAGTATGCAGCAACCCATTTGGATTTAACACGAGCCCATCAAAAATTTAAAACCGAAAATATGAATGTGTGTACATAATGAAAAGGTTGATGGATGCATTAGCATTGATGGATTTTATAAAGTGCAGCACGAATGGAATTATTTTACCATTCGAATCAATATTTTTTGATGGAATCGTAATTAA